ATGTATGTGTCTATACGTATGTATATATATATATATACCAATTAGTTAATGTGTAGAGATGTGTGTGTATACATATATATATATATATAGATATATACACAGTTATATATTTATATAGATGCATTCTCGCATACATGCATGTCGAAATACGAACAAACATCAATGCTTCGTATATACATTTGTATACATACATATATATATATATATATAAATCTGCATGTGTATGTATGTCTAAATGCATATGTACATATATATATATATATATATACATATATATACATATATATATATATATACACACAGAAACACACATATTATGTATGTGTGCAGGTATGTATGCACGTAAGCAACGTATGACAAGTAGGACAACTTCAAGGCTCGTACTGTAAGGTTTAGGGTGTACTTTGGCATACAGATATTGCTTTACTCAGCCGAGTGCCACATTCTACATGTAGCGTTTAGCAGAGCATTAAACGGCTCATGGAATAAAAGTCCTCAATGGAGTTTCGACTAGACCAACAATAAAACATAATTCCAATGGGAACATCCAGGGTTTGCTCTTCAGGCGTCGGCTCGGGCAGTGAGGCGAGCTAATTACTGGAAGAACTCTCGTTAGTTTAAGGAGTTGGATAATTAGTGCGGGAAAGTGCATGCATGCCATATTCCTTATGGTCCATGTATGTTTGGACTATAGCCTAGCCTGAAGACCCTGTTGCAATTTATATTGCCCGTAACTTAAAGGACCCGAACAAGCCTTACTTAAGATTCTGGGCAAAGGTTGTCAGAATACGACACCCTTTGTAGTTTCAGGCTTCTTCCTAGATCAAGCTCGAGTTCATCCTCGATCGGACGTTTGGTTCAGCTTGTGCCGTCGAGGGGTTGGAGATGATTCTCAGACTTCGGGCTTTAGGTGCAGGGTCTAGAGCTTAGGAGCCTGCGGGCTCCGGGCCTAGGGTCATGCCTTGATGGGCATAGTGAGGCTTAAGGATCCGTGGGCCCCTGGTGGATGGAAAGTCGTGCAGGGAGCTTTCCACACTCCTACAGGCCAGCACATCTAATATGGGGGCCTTAGAAATGGGTATGCTGTTTTAAGGGCTCCTCATAACAGTTCTTTGCATAATGGGCCCAAAGCCCTATCCCCTAACTCTAGTACCCTTATAAGTCCCCAAAAGTAACCCTGAAAGGACCCCTTTAAAGGAACCCCACTCCAATTACTGGAAGCCTCGACGCGGTAACCAGCCTTAAGATCCCATATGATACGGTTGATGATATAAATCCTGCACTACCCTAAGGACCCTAGACTATGGGAATTATGGTATACTCCTGATTATGGGTTTTGCAGGATTTATGTCACCAGCCGTATTACGGCAAAAGATACCGCATGTCTAATCATTAATGCCCCTATAATGCAGAGCGCTGGTCGTATTGTAGCACCCTTTAGCGATCCCATTTAAAGGAACCTTCAAGGGAACCCCGTTCTATTTTTTAAGGCCCCCTGTTTGCACGGGCTTCTCTGAGATTCGGCCGCGAGGCAATCTGCTTCAACTCCGCCTCATCCATCTTGCTGGCGGCTGCGCCGAACCTCTACTTGAGGCACTATGCAGGGCCCTACAGATCCTTTAAGGGTTCGTGTAAGGGCTCAGAATTGTTACTGAAGTACACGCATACCATAAAGGTATCACATGGCTTAAGGATTTGAGGGTTCAAGGGGGTTTAAGGGTCCTAGTTTTATTTATACTTTGGCTTTAGCATAGTCCCTATGTGGTACGGTTTAAAATGTACAAGAATCCCGTATATATATATATATATATATATACAAGCTTCCCCCAATGAGGGAAGAGATTTGTAGGAGCCTAGAAAGTTCCCAATCTTATTCCTTAGGTTTCCTTAATGTAATTTGATCTTGAGGAGCCCACGACCCTCTTCTGAATATGAAAGCCCCTATACTAACCCCCCCCATAATCCCTTACAACAGCCCTTATAAACTCATAGGGCCCTTTTAAGGTACCCAATTCTATCATTCAAGTCCCCTAAAGTCATAGGGACCCTTAGGGAGGTGGGGAGGGGGGGGGGGGGGGGTAGGGGGACCCTAGTGCCTTAGTAAGGACCTAATAAGGGGTATTCGAGGAAGTACCCCCCTCCCACTTACCCCCCTCTAAGGGTCCCTATGCTAAACCCTGATCCCGCAGTTAATATCCGAGCCCTCAAAACTAAGAATCTTTGTACGATGTTGAGCGTTGGCTTTGGATCTCTGGCTCAGGTAGCCTACTTGGAGGTTCATGGGTGGGTATAAGTAGGGTTATAAGTAGGCTGACTATACTTATAACCCATATCAGGGGACTTATAACCCTACTTATAACTATCATAACTACCCATGAGCCTCCCCTTATACAACCTTTATGGAGCCCTTACAGATCCCTTAAAGGAGCCTTATAACTATTGTAACTACCCATGAACCTCCAAGTATTCCGATGCATGCAACCTGAACTAACCCCATAATTCCTTCTAGTAACCCTTGCAGAACCGTTTTTTAAATGGCTCAGGGCAGCTTCTTATGGGTTTTACGACCTGGGGTTGAGGGCGGTTTAGGGGCTAGGACTTCGGGTTTAGGTTGGATCTCTGAGATGGGCGGACGTTGGAAGGAAGGCTGCGTGATGCAAGCATGTCCTACACGGCTGTACAGGTTGGTGTGGCCCCTCGGTCTTGTTTTGAGGGCGGGGTTTTAGTAAACCGCCCAGAGTCGAGGAGCCCCACTCTAGAACAAACCCTGGCCCTAAACCCTAAACCTGCCTAAAACCTATAAGCTCTAGACCCTCTTCAAACCCTGGCCCTGGCCCTAACCTCAGAGCATCGCATACTTACAAGGGCTCACCCAGAGCCTCCAAAACCCCTTAATTGAGGAAAATACCTTAAATCATAATAGGAACCCTAATATGATTTAAGGTATATTCCTTAATTAAGGGGTTTTGGAGGCTCTGGGCTCAAGCCGCCGACAGAGCAGGCTGAGCCAAGCCCTAGGGATCTAAGGACTCATAAATTAAGGCTGTTGGGCCCAAAGACCATACTCTATAAGGCTTTTGGGCTATTTTGATCCCTAGGGAAGTAAGAACTTCCACAAAGTTGGAATATGGTTTCATGGTAGGATACCCTATATAATTTACCATAGAGGGGTTAGGATAATCATATTCCAACTTTCTGGCTTTTACCTTAAGAGTCTACTTGGAGGTTCTTGGGTAGCTATAGGCGGCATTTTAAGTCCTCTAATATGGGTTATAACTATAGTTGTCCTACTTATAACCCTACTTATAGCTACCCATGAACCTCCAAGTACGCTTCTTATCTGCATCCGCGAATGACAGGGGACCCCTAAAGACGGGAAGTTCTTTAAGGTTCAGTCTTCGATTCTACATCCTCTTGTCGCACCCGCCGGAGGAAGATCCGTGATTTCAAGTTGGTGAACATGGCTAACCCTAAGGGTCCATGTACCCAAAAAGAGATACATTCGCCCCAAAGTACCCAAATAGGGACTACATTAAGGCCAATGTATATACTATATGAGTACATGGACCCTTGGGGTAATGTAAACCCATGACTAATCAAGCCCCTGTGAAGTGTAAGGCCCAGAACTTCTTTTGGAAATAGCCATTAATCATAATCCTTGGTAAGTCGAAAACAATTTAAATGTCTGGTCCTGCGGCTACGGACAATGCCGAGGCACCCAGCTGCAGAGGATGCACCGCCACCCATGGCTTCCAATACGGGAGAGGTCAAAGGGAGGCCGTTGGCGAATGGCTGCTGCGCTGTTTCGAGCCGTCAACAGCAAAGCCCCGTGAGTGGTTGGGGTAAGGTGTTGGGGTGTGAGCCGCGTGGGGTTTTAGGGCTCTATAAGCAACTACAAAGGCGGAATTGACGGCCTTAAGGCAGCTACAATGAAGTTCTTCATCCTTGTCAGCTTCATGTTTACACGAAGGTTTGGAGTTACATTGTTCTATATATTTGACTGGTTATAAGGGAATACAGTAGTGCTCGCAATTATTACAACCCCTGTCTCTGCACGCGAGTTCTTGCCGTATCTTTCAGGTTAATGAGTTTCAGTGAGGCAGTCGGAGTTTTCCTAGTAGAAAATTCTAGACCTTTCATCCCGAGTCCCAGGTCCGTGAACCCAAGCACAAACACAAGTGAGTTACTCGCATGCCCACATACGTGCGTACGTACGTACATATCAATATATGAACCGTATATGTGTGTGTGTACGTCTATGTGTAAGTATACGTACGAGTATAGACACACACACACACATAATGCGTGTTGCTTCGTATGTGCTTGTACATATGTATATATAAGCATACATTCATTCTGTTGTTCTTCTTTGCTTGTTCATGAGTAGAAACACAAACACCGTATCTGAGCATATCTGTGCATGCGTGTGTGAGTGTGTCGTGTGTCTGACGTGTTTGCTTGTAGAAGTTTCCCCTGATGCCATGTCCATCCATGTCCCATGTGTCCAGGAGCCAGAGCCTTACAACCCTAGAAACAAAGAGCACAACTTAAATCACACAGGCATTAAACCTGTGACTTTCGGTCGAGTCCTTGATTGGGAATACTAAGACTAGTCTAATATTAATACTACTAGTTACAAGTATACAAAGTATAAGCGTAGTAGCAATATTGGTAGTATTACCCTAAGGCTTAAAGTAGCCCAAAAGCCTTACATAGAATGGTCTTTGGGCCCAAGAGCCTTAAGATACGGGTGGTTGTCAAAATTATGGTCCCTTTTTGGGGTCCCTAATATCATACAGCGGGCCTGTAAGGTAATGACAAAGGGACCCTAATTTTGGCAACTACCCATATGAATCCTTAGAGCCTGACGGCTAACCCGTCGGCAGACCTGCTGAGGCCAGGGCTTTCCTTTTGGAGCACTTTGATCCGGCACCTAATATTTAGGGTCTTTAGGGTACCCAAGAAGGGACCCTAATTTTGGCAACTGCTGAGGCCAGGGCTCTCCTTTTGGAGCACTTTGATCCGTGACTGCCAGGCTTCAACCTGCTTAAAGGGAACTCCAGAAAGGGTTTAGGGTTTAGGCTGATTAATGGTAGGATCCCCTATAATTTACCTTAAAGGGGATACGATAATGATATTCCAACTTTCTGGCTTCGACCTGCTTATGGCGTTCGGCTCGAGGGTTCAAGGGGGTTCGATAAGGGTGCTTCTTAGGGCAGTTTAGGGTCCTAGAAGGGTAGGGGGCTCTGTGGCAGTTTATAGGGTTTAGGGCTGTAGAGTTCGGAAAATGAGGTTTAGATTAAAAGGTTGCGGCGTTAAACTACTCTGCAAAAAAGGGCCCCTGAACCGTAAAGCCTATCTCTGAAACATTACATCCTCCCCCACTTAAGCCCGGAAGGCCCACCCTACTCGGAGGTTCAAAGGTAATTACAAGTAGGGATATAGGTAAGATCGATAAACCTTATAACCTGAATAAGGGGACTTCTCACTCCTCTTATAACTACCCCAGGAACCTCTAAGTAAGCCCTACTTGTCGGGTATCATGGGGAACTACAGGTGAACCTTTTTGGTTATATAAGGATTATATAGGGACTATACTACCCATAAAAAGTTAAAGCGCGACGTGGGTTACCTTCTCTATACTACTAGGCCACTAAGGCCCCTACATTAGAATCCTTATAATAGCCCTTCTAGTAGCCTTCTAGACCCCTTTAAAAGGAACCCTTATAATAGCCCTTCTAGTAGCCTTCTAGACCCCTTTAACAGGAACCCTTATGATGGCCCTTATAGGAGCCCTTCTAGACCCCTTTAAAAGGAATCCTTATAATACTTATAATGGCCCTTATAGGAGCCCTTCTAGACCCCTTTAAAAGGAATCCTTATAATACTTATAATGGCCCTTATAGGAGCCCTTCTAGACCCCTTTAAAAGGAATCCTTATAATACTTATAATGGCCCTTATAGGAGCCCTTCTAGACCCCTTTAAAAGGAATCCTTATAATACTTATAATGGCCCTTATAGGAGCCCTTCTAGACCCCTTTAAAAGGAATCCTTATAATGCTTATAATGGCCCTTATAGGAGCCCTTCTAGACCCCTCTAAAAGGAATCCTTAAAAGTCCCCTACCTCTACTACTGGGCTTCGGGCCTGGGTCTGCTGCTCCTTGTCCAGACAGGCCCGACCTGGGGGTTTCCGAAAATTAGAGGTACCTTATTTTGGGGTCCATATAATAAGGATCCTACTATTTAGGGTACTATATTAGGGTCCCCTATTTTCGGAAACTCCCACCTGGTGGTTCGCCAGCGAGTTCAAAGGTTCTGAGTGTGAGGCTTTAGGGGTTTAGGGTCTGAGGACTCATCTATTAAGGTTTTTCTGGCCCAAAGATCATACAATATAAGGCTTTTGCGCCATTTTGAGCATTAGGGTTAGGGTTTAGGGTCTGAGGTCGTCGAAACATTGGCTTGTATGAATTGGCTTGCTCTTATAGGGTTTGCTTCGGATTCGAGGATTCAGGGTTCGACAGGGTTTCGAATCTTTAACAGGGCTCCTCTACAAAAAGGTACTTTACGAACAGTCAACGCGTACACTAACCAGCTGCACGGACCCTTATTGTTTGGGCAGACTTGACAAACTTCATTGGCGGTTCTACGACATGTTAAGACTCTTAAATAACTAGGCTCGTCAACTTTGAATGGCCTGGAGAGAACTGTGGTGGACCAAGACATCACAACCCGAAGAGACCCGTAACCAGGAAACTATTGATCCACAGTGCTGACTGCACCGTTAGCATCTCATAAACCCTAAGTAATTCAAGAGATTCGATCCCACAACAAACCCAACACTTACGACGCGACTGGCAACAAGGTGCCGAACACACCAGAGAAAACACGTGTGATACTGTGGCAGATCCCAACCACAATGCGCAAGTGCAAACAGTTCCATGACCTCATCTAAGTGCCGAGCGGTAAAAGATCTCCTGTGCTTCAACCGAGCTGTATGCTGACGTTGGAGCTGATCATGATAGTTCAGGCCAAAGCCGTGTCTTGATGACCGCAGAGGATTCTGTGCACTTCCGGCTGCACGAAATACGGTTGTTGTTACATATGTGTGTTACTGCATGTCTGCAGCAGTGCATTCTCTGGCTTACATACCACTATTCGATGCATACATCCTGCAAACCTGCCCAAGTGTAGAATATAATGACGGTATCTCTATGCATATATATATATATATATATATATATACATATATATATATATGTATACATATATATATATATGTATGCATGCATGCTTGCTTGCATGCATGCATGAGCTCAATAATGTAAGTTTGCTATGTATGTATGTATGTATGTATGTATGCATGTGTGTATGTGTGTATGTGTGTATGCATGTATGTATGTATGTATGTGTATACATATATATATATGTATATCTGTATATCTGTATGTATATATGAAAATAATCAAATATATATACATATATATATATATATATATATATAGATGTGCATATATATATATGTACATATTTATGTGACTTAAGCCAGACGAGAACGTTGGCATCCTTAGACTCAATTAGAGCCTGCATCACCAAAGCCCCTGCTTCGGAAGATGAACTGCGAGGAACTTGCAAACGGTGGTGGTTTAGGGTTTAGGGTTTAGGGTTGTTTAGGGTTTAGGGTTAAGAAGTTTAGGATCACCGCCTCCCTCATCTCAAAAAGCACTGATATTCGTAATATTGTGTAGGAAGGTCCCCAACGACATGCCAGCGTGATGAGGCAGTGAGTCAGAGCAAGTTGAACGCATGGAGCCGTAGTGCTTTACAATGCAGGGCTGCTCAGCTGTGGTTTTCTAGGGCCTTGGAGCCCAGGTGGGAGTTTCCGAAAATAGGGGACCCTATTATAGTCATGTAGTACCCTAAATAGTAAGATCCTTATTACCAGGACCACAAAATAAGGTACCCCTACTTTTCGGAAACTCTAGACCCTAAACCCTTTATAGAACCCTTATAGATCCCTTTAAAGGAACCCCTAATTTTCGGAAACTCTAGACCCTAAACCCTTTATAGAACCCTTATAGATCCCTTTAAAGGAACCCTTTAAAGTTCATTAAAGGAACCCCTAATTTTCGGAAACGCCCGGGTGAGAAGGCCGGTCGTCCTGGAAGAACGTATCAACCTTGTTCCGAGCCCACAGAGGACCTGCAGCAAGCTCGTGGATCAAAACTTGACTTGGTGGTTCCTTTAAAGGGATCTATAGGGATTCTGTAAGGTTATAGGGTTGAGGGTCTACTTGGAGGCTCATGGGCAGTTATAAGTAGGGTTAGAAGTAGGATAAGTATACTTATAACCCGTATTAGGCGACATATTACCCTAAGGGTCCATGTACACAAATAGTATATACTTTGGCCCCAAACTACCTATATAGGACTACTTTGAAGCCAAGGTATATACTATTTGGGTCCATGGACCCTTAGGGTTGTAACCCTGAACCCCAAAACCGAAACCCTTATATCCTCGACCCTGAACCCAAAATCCTACAACCTAAACATGTCGACTTCCGCATTCGTCCAGCTTGAGAATGGAAGAGCTGAAGGGACCAGGGCGCTCAAGCTCCGTATGGTTGAGGGCTTGCTGCTTACTGTAGCCGGTTTAGGGCTTGGAGTTACGGGCTAAAAATTTATGAGGCTTTAGAGTTTAGGGTTTGGGGCTATAAAACCCCAAAACTCTAAGACTTTTAGCGTGAACTTGATGTTCGATAGCAGCTGGATTGTCACGTATCGGCGAAGATCAGACTCGCGCCACCCTAAGCACCAAACCCCAAGCCCTACACCCCCCTAGGCCATAACAGCCCTAAATCCCCAAACCCTAAACCTTGAAGTCCTAACCCCAAACCCTGAAACCCCAAAACCTTAAGCTGTAAAGGCCTCAACCCCAACACTAAAGCCCCAAACACCAAAGCTCAAAACCCTAAAACCCTAGTCCCTACAGCCCGAGAGCTTGGTTGCGAGTTTGTCTTGAGATCGCTGGTAGTATCGGAATTTTGGGGGGTTTCAAGAGACTCCTAAGCTCCAACACTCAAGGAGTAAACGGTTTCGGGTTTAGAGGTTTGGGGATAGGGGTTAGGGTTTAGGGGTTTAGGGTGGAGGGTGTATGTGCCCCCACCCTGTACAGTTCATATCCACGCCCCATATAGGAGGCCCTCATTCTAAGAATCTCACCCCGTCCCAACCCCTAAACCCTAAACCCTATAAACCCTATAAACCCTATAAACCCTACAAACCCTATAAACCCTAAACCCTACACCCTATAAGAAACCATAAACCCTAAACCCCCACCCCAACCCGGTGCCTCTGTTCTTGAAGAGTGTGAAAAGGCAGCGCTCGACGAAGTCTTTGCCTCGAAGGCTCTCTGGAATAGGGACTACAGGGATTATAGGGATTATAGGGATTATAGGGGTTATAGGGGTTATAGGGGTATAGGGGTATAGGGATTATAGGGATTATACGGATTACAGGGATTGTAGGAATTTGTGTTTAGGGTTTAAGGCTTAGGGTTTAGGATTTGGAGTTGGGTATTTTTGGAACACTGGTTTCTCGACGGGTCACTGGGTGTAAGAGATTCTGCAAGGATCTTGGGGCTGAGGATTTACGTAGGTTGAAAGGTTTCTTGTTTGAGGTTTTGGGGTTGATGGTCGCAAACCTTTAGTGTGGTTCATCCAAGCAGTTATAACCCGATGCCCGAAACCCGCAAAAACCACGAAACTTGAACCGTAAACTCTTGCCTCCCCGACAAACTCGCGACCTGTGACCTTGTCAGCTCGTAAGCAAGCTGACATGGAAAGCCTTCCAGCCTCAAACCCTATGTAAACCTTAAACCCTAAGGGATCCTCAGGGCAGCCGCTACTCGAAGTCAGAAACCTTAATCCGAAAGAGGCTGGAACATCGAAGCCATGAAGTCACCTGCTGTCTCAGGGATCGGCGAATCGTGATCAAGCTCTCCTCTGTGCAGGGCACCGGAAACACGAAGGCAGACATCTCCTAGGCAAGGCCACTTCACGGTTGAGTGGTTTAGAGTTCAGGATTGAGGGATTAGGGATTAATGAGTGTAAGTGTAGGCTTGTTGGGGATTATGGCCTTCAGCAGGCTGTAGGAGAAGTACGCTAGCCGGGTGAATCCCCGCCAGACCGGACTCTGTCATTACTGTACGTAAATAGCAATGAAAGCAGAGAGCAGCGGACAAAAGAATCGGCCAGCACTGATGTCGGGAAACAGCTTCGTTGCCGTCTCCTTGCTACAATGACATTATCAAGATTCCAATGTCAAACACTGACAGTAGTAGGAGCAGTATGCAACTCAAGCATCGAGAATGCTTGAATACACGGACAAAGCTCGCCTCGCACGGACAACATGATCAAATAACCTCCTGAAGACGCGAAGGTGTTTGTCTCTCTACTTACGACGGTGCTAACATAAATGGGGGTGTCCGAAAAATAGGGGACCCTGATATCGTACCTAGATGGAAGGATCCTCATTATAAGGACCCAAAGTAGGGTACCCCTAAGGACACTCCCAAATGGTGACGACGGCATGGAAGAAGGAGTCTACATCCGCCTCCCTGCGGGACAGCTGCGCACTGGAACTGCTTTTTTATTTTGCATTCATACGACTTGTTCGGAAGCCTCATCATTGACATTGATGACTGAGTTTCCACATCCCCAGTTCTGCATATCATGTCGGGCCCTTGCCGCGAGCCTTGATCAATCTGACGACGAAAGTAACCAGTACTGCCAGGATCACTGTGCACAAGGGCCTCTTCTTGGAAAGCAGTGATGTGGCGCACGGTGCACCGGTGCGCATCTGGACCGGAGCATTCGGATGCGGTAACGTCTTCATCAGAACGTCTCGACTGACTGGGGACCGTCCATTGGCGTTCTGCACAAACACGCTGATTGCATAGCGCGAATCTGGCTTGAGACCATAGGCTTGTACACGGTGAGTATTGCCGAATCGGGAAATTATGCGGCGATAATGTCCAGATGTAAGTCCTAAAACGAATATATTCCCGATTGGTGCCCTCTGCTGGGCAGGGACCGAAAACCTGAATGAAATCGTGCGTTCGGTACTGCTAGTCTGCACCAGCTGCGACGGCATTTGTGGAGCTCCAAGAGTGCTGCAGCGAAGGCTCGGGCAGAAAGGCCCCGCCCCGGCTGAATTGATCGCCAGCGCTCGAAAGTTGTAGACGGTGCCAGGAAGAAGGCCTGTTACCGTAATTCGGAGCAGCGTGCACCGTCCACGTTCGGATTTGATCAGGCACCGTGTCCGGGCAGGTTTCCACTGTGTCTCGCCCAACTGCTCTTGCGATACCTGCACCCTGCAGCCGCTGACCTTGAGAGGACCACAGACTGTGAAATCAAGGACAGCGCTCCTGGCACCGCAAGTGCCCCGCTGAAGGAATCAGGGCCTTCAGCCTGCTGGATAAGAGCCTGCTGTGGGATGCAAGCCTCCGCATAGCTATACTGCTCCACGGATCTGGAACACTTATTCTCGTTGGCATATCTCCATATTCCCGCTCCCACATCTTCGCAGCAAATCTAGGGTTAATCACGAGCAAACGATGAGTCGAATCCACCACCTGAACGTGAACAATGTCCCTCAGGTCAGAAAAGCTGAGGACACTCTGCATGAGCAGCGTGCGCTTTGCCAGTGCGGTCCATGTCAAGACGACCTCTGATGCACATGGTGCCCTATTGCGGATGATGATGTTGCAAAACGATTCTGCGGAGCCCAACCGGCCAGCTGCAAGCATCATCGTGGCCTTAAGTTTGCTGGACCAGGAACTGGTGTTGCATGCAACCTTCCACAAGAAGGACATTTTGCGTTCAGTACTGCTGATCTGCACCAGCTGCGACGGAATTTGTGGAGTGCTGCATCGGAGGCTCGGGCAGAAAGGCCCCGCCCCGACTGAATTGATCGCCTGCGCTCGAAAGTCGTAGACGGTGCCAGGAAGAAGGCCTGTTACCGTAATTCGGAGCAGCGTGCACCGTCCACGTTCGGATTTGATCAGGCACCGTGTCCGGGCAGGTTTCCACTGTGTCTCGCCCAACTGCTCTTGCGATACCTGCACCCTGCAGCCGCTGACCTTGAGAGGACCACAGACTGCGAAATCAAGGATGACATGTCTGCCACAGCGCTCCTGGCACCGCAAGTGCCCCGCTGAAGGAATCAGGGCCTTCAGCCTGCTGGATAAGAGCCTGCTGTGGGATGCAAGCCTCCGCATAGCTATACTGCTCCACGTATCTGGAACACTTATTCTCGTTGGCATATCTCCATATTCCCGCTCCCACATCTTCGCAGCAAATCTAGGGTTAATCACGAGCAAACGATGAGTCGAATCCACCACCTGAACGTGAACAATGTCCCTCAGGTCAGAAAAGCTGAGGACACTCTGCATGAGCAGCGTGCGCTTCGCCGATGATGTCCCAGGACTCAGAACAAGCGCTTCTTGGGAATCGGTGCTTGTACTTGGCAATCCTGAGCGCCAGATCGGTGGCAACGTATGGCATTGGAGGGTGGGTTCGATGAGATTGACTGCCCGGGCTCGAAACTGGTCAGCCGCGTCATGCCCAATGCCCAAGATTGTTTGGAGCATCGCCTGCCTCGACAACGAAACCCATGTCTTGGAAGCATCGATGCTGGAGCTTGTCATGGGTCTTGGGCTTTGGGCAAACGACAGCTGAGGGCAGCCATAGATGTGATCACCAACTGTGGAGGGAATCGTCCATTCTGCCAACTTCAAACCTTATGGAACTACACGCCGCTGTTGCCCGCCTGAAGTATGCTTGTCCGAATACTCTATACCATGTGAGTACATATCTAATTTTAGAGACCGATTTCGCAAAACTTGCAAACCCTAAAATTCGAAGCAGCAAAACTCCAGCCCTCCTCTGCTTCGCTTGAGCTCTCGATCTCATCCACGTCGATCGAGGACTCCTGCCGCGACCACAAAACCCTAAGGGTCGATGTAACCAAACAGTATATACCTTGGCCCCAAAGTACCTATACAGGGACAACTGTAGGCCCAAAGTATATACTGTTTGCGCACATGGACCCTAGGGAAAAGCCGCGATTTTTGATTGCAGTCTTTGCGGGTTTAGGGCTTGGGGTTTGGGATAGGGACAGTTCAGGGTGTAGGGATCAGGAGAAGGCTGTGACAAACCGAGTTTGGGGTTGTCCTCTCTGAACCAAATCATGCATGGTCGAAGCTGATTAAGAGTAACTCAGGTTACTCAGGCATATTGGGCTCCTGGCTGGCTTATCCCGAACTTCACCATCCAGTTGAATGATCTTGATCAAACTTGAACAAGAAGTTTGAGGGTGTTCATAGGCTCCAACAGTATAGGTAATGATTCAGGCCGAAAACTCAAAACCTAAACCCTAGCTAAAATGTAAACCCTATGAGCCTAAGCCTGTTACCCCAACCCCCAAGGCCCAAAGCCTTCCTGGGCACCTGGAGCCCTGCCGCCCCGAAAACGAAGAGGATGACTTCGAATTTGAGGGTCGTAACAATTGGAACAGGGGCATGGGGACTACAGAAAGCTACTTCTACTACTAACGGTTCAGGCACCATATATGGCAAGGTTAGGGTTGGACCTGCACAGAGAGGATAACGCCTGACCCGAAGATATCTACTAAATCTATTGTAACCCTGCTTTGCCGCCACCCGTCCTGAAAATCTTAAATCCTACTTTGGACATTCAACACATTGGGCCGAAGAGGTGTGGACTCGAACGCCGCCACTGCATGCAAAGCCAACCCGTGTAGAGCACTCCCATGTCCCGAGTTCGACAGCATCCCCCAGACCCTACTCGGAGGTTCATAGGTAGTTATGAGTAGAGTTATAAATCTCCTAATATGGGTTACAAGTATAGTTATCCTATTTAATTAGAACCCTAGTTATAACTACCGATGAACCTCCACGTGCTCACAATTTAATGTCCTGCAATAAGCCTTCTGACCACAGCTACCCTCGACACAAAACGTAACTACGGCACACTCCAAACTTTCGGATTCTTCGCAAGCCCACAGCCGCATGTAGCTCGTGAAATCTGAACTCTAAAACAACCCTAAACCCACAAGCCCACTCCAAAAGGATTCAGCCCACCTCCGCTTCGGAGCTGATCTCGCCACCTTCGTGAGACGATCCCGCCCACTCCCCAAACCCAGAAAGACGAAGAGCTGCGGGCTTTGGGATTATAGGCAAATTTGGGAGTTTAGGGTTTAGGGTTTAGGGTTTAGGGGTGGGCTTAACACTAGGCTGAGGGCCGAGGGGATGGGGGTCGAGGGGTTTAGGGCGCTGGGGTATGAGGGTTGAGGCTTGATTGCGCCTCTGCGGCCCTATGCACACGGACTACAAAGCTAACACGCCAGTATAGTAAGACCCCCAAAAGCCTAAACCGTCAGCCCGGGAACTCGTATAAAACCTTCAAAAGATCCCTTACAGAAACCCTCATAGAAGCCTCGAGAAGGACCCTTACCCGTCGTGAGAAAAGCAAGTCCGAGCCTTCGGCGTCGCTGTCAAGGTCTATGCATTTCGCCTGGCTTCGGGAAGCGCTTGTTTATGGGTATAGGGATTAGGAATTAGCGGGGTTGTCAGGTGTTTAGGGTTGAGGAAGGATAAGGGTCAGAGTTTAGGGTGCATAATTTAAGCGTTTTTTTGGAGGGGGGGGGGGTTAGGTGTTCAGCTTGAGGGACCTACGGTTCAGAGTTTAGGTTTAGAGACGGAGGCCATGCCCACCAATAAGGCACCGACGGAGACGACGACTACTAGTACTGCCACTGCTGCAAGTACCTCTTCGACTGATCCTTGGCTACATCTCTGTGGACCCTGTAGAATGAAGAAACCGTCAATCCCACACCGCCTACACCCCTTAAAAACTAAAACTTGAGGAAAACCCCTTATAACCCCTCAACCCAAGCCTAGAAACCGTTCAGACAGTTCAGACAGGGGGGGGGCTTTGATGCGCGAAACCCTAAACCCTAAACCCTAAACCCTAATATAAACCAGCCCCACGCCTTGGACTTGGGCTCCTTCTCCTGACAAGCTCGGCTGAGGCTTCGATCAAAGGGGAAAAGGAGGGACCCTTAATGGGGACCCCTACCCTATAATGGGCTATAATATGGGTATATAATGGCTATATTATGGGTATATACCTAGGGGTCCTTATTAGGGGTCCCTCCTTTTACCCTTTGATTCGAAGAGCTGTTTTGATGCTATGTTCTGTCGAGGTCGCGGGGTCTTGGTGGTGTATGTGGCGCCTGTGGGTGACGATATTTTGGAGTGGGGGTTCTGAGATTACGAATGTATCCAAGAAAACCGAGGGCCTAAACCCTGTCACCGATCAACCCCAAGAAGACTAAGGTTTAGGCTTGGAAGTATGTACCACTCGAAATGAAGAGCCTGCAACTACTTTCAGCACTCTGCGTGCTCCTTCGGCATACGAGTTCTGCACCAGCAACTGTGATTATCAACTATGCGATATAGCCATAACCATAATTCAGTACATGTCTCTAGCTCTGGATCTGAAGCAGCGAGTTGAACTTCGGCGAACCTGCAGGTGGTGTGAACGCACACGCAGACACATAACTTATACCACCGATGCAGTAGAACGGATCACGGCCCTGGCCGGAGCGATTAAAAGCTTTCACGAGACCACGGCTTCTTAAATTCTAGGGTGAGATCGGTGTGCTTCAAACAGGGATTCCACATTTTCCTATTCGGGGTTCTACAATGGAGTGTGCTTCCTCTGACACACCCATATCCCAGAAAAGCAGCAGGGCCGCGCTGTCCTCATCGCTGAGCTCTTCGTCGTCGCTGCCTCTTAGCAAGAAAACATGATGTTCATTCTCGTATATACGCCACACACGCAGACACGCCACGGCACACCCGTAGCAAGCGACGTGGTAGGCTTATGTAGGACCTAACTGAAACTGAGAGCTTGTGCAGGCGCCGTTATCGACTGTTGAAAACCTTGCAACCCCCGGTAACCAACTGTTTATTCAAGTCAAGTGGCTCAGCCATAGACCGAACCCTTGACCCCATAACTCTGAACCATACTCGATGCCGGAAACCCCACTCGCAGCGGAAGCCCAAACCCCTCAACGTCACAAGCCAATAGACTCTACACGGAACCTCTGCAAGCGAATTGTGCTGCATTGCTTTGTGGTGCTGGAGATTCCGAGTTATTCCGGGTTTAGGCGATGGAGACTCTATTCAGCGAGGTCGGACACAGGTTCGAAAGTCTCTGATTCGGCAATGGCCCCAACTTGGATTATGAATGCCGTCTGAAAGTCATGGGGGCTTGGTGTCAGAGCAAGCGTGCTGCGACTTCTCAGGTACTTCATATTTGGCGGCTGTGGAAGTTTGTGTTGTGGGAGTTTCCGAAACAAGCGGACCCTCGTATAGCACCCTAGATAGTAGGATCCGGATTATAAGGACCCCCTAAGAAAGGTACCTCTAATGTTCGGAAACTCTCTTGTGGTTGTCAGAGCTCAGACCCCACTTGAGGGACCCTAAGGGTCCAAAGGACCCAATAACTAGGTAGTTACTCGGTTTCAGGATAGTAGTTATGTAGGTTGGGATTTTGGAGTGTGTATCCGCAATGTTGAGGGGACAGAAAGGCCAGGGTCGCCCCAACTGAAAACAGTACAGGGTTCACTTGATGGGATCATATGTTGACAAGTAGACACTGAACATCCTAAGACCTAGATTCTCAAATCCCCAAGCCGCAGCTTGCTACCTGAACACTCACACAGGATTCAGCACCACATCCCTCAAGGGTTTAGGGCTTAGGTTCTGCATATCCAATGCTTGGAAACTCCCGAGGCATGGGCATTCTTCCTCCTCGGAGGTTTCGTCATCGTCGTCTGCCCCAGCTGCACCAGCACCGAAGAAGTCCTGGAACAGCCCGAGGTTGCGGGGGCTTGGAGTCACGCAGCGCCTAGACCCTGAATGGTACCTATGGTCTCCATTGTGCTTCCTTGACAAAGTTACCTTACAGGATCCTTTATGTATAGTTGGTTAACACCCCAAAAAGGAACTACAATGGAGACTATAGGTAGTACTCACGTTACTGTTCGTTTACCCATGTTTACCCTTTCTCTAACTATGAGCGGACCCACACGATAAAAAACGTCTATCCATCAAGACGGTTACAGTTCAGGGTCCCGGGAACATTCATCCCTAAACCCTAAACCCTAAACCCAAACCCTAAACCGTGCACAGGATGCGGGAAGTCGGGATTCTGCCGTTTACGACTTTGCGAAGCAGTGCAGCCCTAGGTTCGAGCTTGAGGCTTCCGCCTGCAGAGTTGTTCGAGCTACCCAGACCTTCCAAAATCCCTCAATTAAGGAATATACCTTAAACTTTAGTAGAGTCCCTAATATGATTTAAGGTATACTCCTTAATTAAGGGACTTTGGAAGGTCTGGGTAGTCTCCATGGAGTTCCTGTTGTTGGTTTCCACAAATGTTTTGGTTAGGATCCCAGAAACGAGCCCTTCTAGTCTTATAGTACCCTCAACGACCTCAAAGGAATACCCTTAAAGCACCCAGAAAAGGAACTGCAATGGAGACTATAGGTAGGAAACATGACACCACAAGGTCCTTAGTCACAGACCTTCTGTGCTTGGAGGATCCGAGGGGGTTATTGAAAGCGTTATTAAAACAGGGTTGAGGGCGGTTTGGGGCTGGGGGTTACGAGTATCAATATGAGTCTCTCGAGTTGGGGTGCGGGTGGGGGTCTTAAGCTAAGTTCAGCCCAAAAAACCTCAAAACCATCTGCTCTAGGCATCCGATCCCCGCAATCCCTAAACCTGAACTCCCAACCCCCCATCTCCTAAAACCTGGTTTAGGGTTTAGGGTTCGAGGGGTCTTGCAATACAAAAGGGCTCCCTTGTTGGTGTTGCGCGCTTTTGTACGGAACAAAAAAGGGGAACAGTGCCCATTGGGAGAGATCTAGGATTGCAACATCCCAAGCCCGCTGTCTTGACAACTTGGCCTCGTGGTCGCTGCCATCCTCCTGCCTGGTTCATGATTTCTGTTTGGTGCATGTTCGTAGCGCTAGCTGTTAAGATTTAGGGGCTTAGGGCAAAGATTTTGGTAGATGTTTATAACTAGTTTAAGATTTAGAGGTTTAGGGCTCTTGGGCAAAGATTGCTTGAGAAAGTATCTGTAGGGTACCTTGACGAACAGAGGGGAACCGTTAATCCGCTATGGATCCCAGAGAGCCCAAAACCCCTGGATCAAGGAATATGGCGTAAATATTACATGGGGCTTCATGTTATGATTTAAGCTATATTCCTTAATTATGGGGTATTGGGCTCTCTGGGATCATGTCCCTGCTCTTTCGAGAAACTTGCTACCCCAAGCCCGCCCCTAGATAGGACCTGACTTCTATATCCTGCATCCTACAACTTGTGTTCCTAAACGCTGTCATAGAATCTTCATAGAAAACAGCGGTTTAAGACTATAACCTGTCCTTTGTGGTTTTGCCTTTTCCCGAAAATGCACACTGGACCCTCGAGCCTTCGGAGATAGACAGTGCATGATTAACTTTTGTCGATCCAACATCTGGGGAGTTTAAGACTTGAGTGGTTGTCAAAACAATGGTCACTTCTTTGGGTCCCTAATATCGTACGGCACCTATTAAAATTGAGGGTACCCCAAAAAAAGGAGCCTGGTTTTGACAACCACCCACTTGAGGGTTTGGGGCTTCCAGGTGTCTAGGAGTCGAGGACTTCGGCCGCTATAAAGCCCAGAAAAAAAGCACTAAACCCTGAACCCCATAAGCTCTAAGCCCTAAGCCCTATAAGCCGTATAGTCTATACCGGCCTAAACCCTAAAGCCCAGAAACAAATTTAAAAAAGCACCGGGCGCCCTGGCTTGGGGTCCACCGGCTGATGCTTGCCGTTCGACCTCGGAGGCTTCGCATGCAGAAAACCCTGGGGGAGGCTTAGGGCTCTTTAGGGCTTATGGGGTTTAGGTGTTTAGGGCTTCTAGGGTTTATAGGGCTTATGGGGTTTGGGGTTATAGGGAAAATAGGGCTTATAGGGTTTAGGGTTTAGGTGTTTAGGGCTTCTAGGGTTTATAGGGCTTATAGGGTTTATAGGGTTTAGGGTTTAGGTGTTTAGGGCTTCTAGGGTTTATAGGGCTTATAGGGTTTATAGGGTTTAGGTGTTTAGGGCTTATAGGGTTTATAGGGCTTATAGGGTTTAGGGCTTAGGTGTTTAGGGTTTAGGGCTTTGGTGTTTAGGGGTTTAGGGGTTTAGGTGTTTAGAGGTTTAAGGTATAGGTGTTTAGGAGTTTAAGGGTTTAGGGGTTTAGGAGGTTTAAGGTTTACGCTTTAGGGTCCAGGGTTTAGGGTTTGGGGCTTAGGGTGTATAGGGTTTAGGGTTTGGGCTCATGGCCTAGGGCTTAAGATTTATGATGGTTTTGGGTTTAGGGCGGCTGTTGGGGACCACAGCGGGCTTAAGGCTCAACGGGTACTTTTCTTTTTTGGAGAGTGGGGCGTGTATAGAGGGACGATAACACAATGCTTCGTTCTTCGGACAACTATTCATACGTCCAGTGGCCGGCGTGAGGCCAGGCGAAGCCATGCTGTCTAAACACACGTGAGAGTTAGCCTGCGTTAGCCCGGTACAAGCAATCCAAGAATGCACACCGGCATGGTATCATCCGACAGACACAGCTGGGACCGACTACTTGGAGGTTCATGGGTAGTTACAAGTAGGGTCATATGTCCCCTGATATGGGTTATTAAGTATATATAGTTATCCTGCTTATCACCCTATGTAAAACTACCCATGAACGAGAGACGATCTGTTGACATCCCTTCTCTGCTCGGTATCAGGCAACGCCGGTGCAGGCTCCTGGCAGCAGAAACCATGCGCAACGTCTACTTAAAGGATCATGGGACTTAGTAAGTAGAGTTATAAGTACCTTAATTGGGGTTACAAGAAGTTATAAGTATGGTTACCCTAATTATACCCCTACTTACTAAGTCCCATGATCCTCCAAGTATTCATAGTCGTTGTACCCTACGCCTCAAGCTAAAGCTGAATCCAACATCGTCATAGCTGCTCTTCCGCATGAGAAGATACTATCGCATCCTCCGAACTGGACTTTCGTCCAGGTCCTGCATGCATGCTATCAAAAAGACAACTGCTGAAGTGGGCAGTAAAAAGTTCAATCCCCGATTCGTGCATCTGCAGGATGCCTGTGAGACCAGAGTGTGCAGGAAATGCTCAGGCAGTTTCAGCCAGGACTGCCAATCTACCCTGAAACAGGAAGGACCTCAACGAAACCCTATACCCTAAACCCTAAACCCTAAAACACTGCCGAACTGAGAAAACACAGGCCGCAAGGGGCCACGGGCAGCGCCAACTTGGCTTTCTTTCCATTTACCTGGACTGCTGGCACTGAAAGAGACCAACTGGTGGCACACAGGGCACAGGTTCTATAGGGGCCTGAATAATTAGCAAAATGCTTCGGTGATCCATTAGTTAAACTATTCTGAACATAAGCTGACCCCGAAATAGTATTGGTACTTGTTTAGGCAATTTAGCTGCAGACTCTGAGCCGAATCTCATTGAAACAGCCCAGACTCGGCCTCCATACACGGGACTTCCGAACTCTCAACGTAAGCAGTAAGCCCTGTACCGCAGTGGGTCATGAAGAGTGACAAGGTCTAAATTACCGGTGCTATCTTCTACCTTAATTACAAACTGCGACTCAAAACTCTTATAAGATTCTTTTATGGAAACGAAAAAGCATCTGATGCCCCCACCGGTGAGACGGCCTGCTTGTCATCTTCCTCCTTCGCTTCGATCTTCTCCTGCGAAGCGCGAGGCTGACAACGGGTTTTAGAGAATAATACTGTTGATGATTTAAACCCAACATTGCCTTACTGACCCTAAACTTAAACTATGGGAATTAAGGTATATTCCTTACTATGGGTAATGCAGGATCTATATCATCAACAGTATTTGTAAGTCTTCAAGCCTCCATGTTATATAGGTTGCTGATTTGAACGGGTTGGGACCTTAAATGAGATCAGATTGGACTCATCGATTTAACTTTTCGAGTTTCTAAGGGGTGCCTGGAACTTCTGAGTACAAGGTCACAAAGCCTACACCGGCAATCGAGAATCAACCGGCACGAGCTCCGAAACCGCAAACGGTAACCCGTTGCAGCGGGAGCTTTGCTTTTGGTCGAGGGTACTATGAGAGCCTAATAAATACCTATACTATTTTGGGGGTTCTTTCTATATGGATAGTGTAATGGGCAACAAAACACTATTCTAACTATAAAAGGCCCTTCTATTACGCGTAAACACACACAAACTATCCGCCACTGACACTGCACTCTCCTCACTCGGAGGACGAGAGGCAACACCGTCCCGTGTGTCTGAGGTATACGGTATACTGGTATACTTAATGTTTCAGGGTTTAGGGTATACTTAACTATAGCAAGGAATCCTAGAATAGTATGGATAAACTACCTACCCGACTTACCCTAAGCCCGAAGCCGTTTGTATACTATGACCACAGCAAGGAATCCGAGAATAGTATGGATGAATTAATGAATTACCCGAAAGCGTAAACCCCGGATGATTGGCGGGTGTTGTCTGCGCATGCACTACACCTGTGTTACGCCCGACATCAACTGCAAACAGGATCCTCCAAGGCCTTTATGGTTCAGGGTTTCCGAAACAAGTCTTAGCAAAGCAAGCTTGCGAGTCTTGCTCCCGAAATATCAACCTCCCACAAATCCTCTAAGTGACTTGAACGCTAATCCTTGCAACACCTGAGTGCCACGCCCTAAGATCCTTAACAACCTCAGCTCCCAAACCTAAAACGCTACACCTTTTCTGCGCCCCAAATCTTTAAACTTTTCCCGACCTTACCCTGCCATCCCCCCAAGCCTAACCGGCTCCAAATCCCCTACATAAATTAAGGGCCTGACACAGTATAGAATATCATACTCTCATCACAATAAGGAGCCCCAACATAAGGAACCCGACAATTGTTGCTAGTGCCGTGTGCCGTGGGCTCTGCGCTCTGGCGCACTTTGGCGCTTGCCCTGGAGAAAAGGTGTCAAGCTTTCGCCTTATGACTTGATACTGGTGGTGAGGGGCTTCCGCGGTGTGGACAAAGGTCCACATATTAGAGAACTCCCGCTTGGTGGTGACGTCCCAACCATCCAGACCCGCTACCTCTTCTTCGACCCGTGGTGACGATTCGATCCCTGAAGGCTGCTGACAAAACAATGTTATGGATAGGATCTTGAAGGGGTGCGGCAAAAGAGTTAGAACCGTTAAAGACAAAACCCGCCCAAAACTCGGGACCTGAACCCTGAACAGTTTCTATAAACCCTAAACCCTAAAATTGAAAGGCTTGCGCTTAAGTGCTCCAGCGCATGTTGTTGCTTTATGAGCAAAACGAAGGCAGGATTGAAGGAAAGCAACCGACACCACAGTTCAGTTCGAGTAAGAGAGAGCCTCCCAGCCCAGTTGTTTTCCCCAGCCCTAGCCCCAGCCCAGCCCAGCAGTCTGCTTTAGGCATATCGAGTTGGACCTAAACCCAACCCACCACCAATGGCTCCGAGACCCGTGTGATGCACAAGGCCCATCTGTACTGCGGCCCCAGCCACTTTGCCAGTGCGAACCAATTTCAGCGGTAACACTTAAGGCCTTGTACTTGGTTGGCGTCAGTAGCAGGTGGAGCCGGCAGTACGCTTCCTCCAGCGTGGTCACGGCGTTCAGCATCCAGCACGCCGTTGGAGACCGCAGCAGTGCAGCGGTAGAAAAGTAGAGGGTGCCCTCAGCTCTTCCTTGCCTTTGAGGACCTCGAGGCGCGACGGCCGACCTCGGCCGTCCACACAAGAGAAAGTAGCGCTGTTTCCTGCAAGTCGTGCGGAGTGTCTAGCGTATCGTTACAGGAGCACCGCGAAGTACACGCGTTTCGGTTCGACGACGCGCTAGCGGCGGCGATCTCCGATGTACAGACGGTCTATTCCCGACCTGCCCGAGTCACGTGGCATTGCAAGCATGCTGAAACATAACATCAAAGGCTCGATGAGGGCAGACCGCTTCGACGAAGGTTGGCTTTGCCCGTCTCTTGCCGAAGTCGGCCGTATACACGGCGGCGGCGAGCTCGCGAACCATCCGGCTGTGGTCCCGCTCCAGCTCATGGAGGACAACGACAACCGGCACGTCATCATCAGAAGTACAACAGATCCCGACGGGCGAGGCTTCAGTACCGGGTCTCCGTGTCCTTCAAAAGCGCTGTCGCTCTCCGAGTGCCTTCTGCCACCCCGAAGGGCAGACGGGACCGGGCCGAACCAACCTAATGCGACAAACACTGCAGTCGAGATATTCGCATGCACGGAAATAATGCACATGCTTCCAGGCCTGCGTTGGGTCCGACTCGGGATCCAGGAGCTCCACCTACCCAATGCATGCACTGCTATGCAGTGTCGCCATCCCCCGAGTTTAGGGTTCGGGCTAGCCTCCACATCGGAATCAGCGGCATACTCGTTTTATCTGGGAGCAGGTTACGGAATTAATTCTGACAAATATTAGTCTTTACTTTCTCTTCCACATTTGTCAGAAATGTGTCACCTGCAGGCTGGCAGAGTTTGGGATCTGTGAATAATATGTGATAAATTTGCGAAAATTCTGTCAGCAATCTCAATCTCTGGCACTACTTCGGGGCCAGAGCAGCGGCAACAAATCGTACTTCGTAACACTGGGGCACCACTTGGAGATCAGCGCAACGGCAACAAATCGTACTTCTTAGTACTAGGGCACCACTTCGAGGCCAGAGCAGGAGAGCTGGGACGGCGTTCAAGAACGCCTTCGGCACGCCGGCCATCGTGAGGTCCGCTCGTCTTGAGACAAAATAGGGAACCCCAAAATATTCCTGGCACTTGTCGAAGCCCTACACCCCTGGACCCAAAACCTGTAATTATTATGGGCCCTATACTAATCTGCAACCCCTAAACCCTAAACTCCTAGACCCTAAAAGCCAAATCCTAAACCCCTCCAAACCCTTAACCCTAAACCCCCTGCATATCTTGGCACCTCGAGCTTGGCTTCCATCTTGGCTTCCAGCTTGGAGGCCTCTTGCAGAGATAGGGCTTACGTAGAGGCTCCATAGTTCTTCCTTCCTGTGGTTCCTGTTTGGAATCCTCTAAGGTAATCCTAAAACGAACTACTATGGAGCCTATGGGTAGGGTCTAGGTTTTACCGTGTGGGGTTTAGGGCTTAGGGTTTGGGATTCTGGGTTTAGGGCTTAAGGTTGATACAGGGTTAGGGGGCACAGTGAAACGAGCGACTTCCATACTCGACTGATTCTGAGCAATTGAACTTGCCAGCGTCGGGCCTGAGAAATTTGAGCCGAATTCAGAACTGTTGGGTCTTGGGTGTCAGGTTTAGGGTTTAGGTAAGTTTGTTTTAAGGTTTAACGGTTAAAGATTAAAAATTTTCTAACTGTTCAACAGGTGTTCGGCTAAAGGGTTGCAAAGCAGTCCCTTTCGGTTTTGCTCCTCCCTATGGTATGTTATACCTGAAACAAGGACTCGGACCATGAACCCCCCCCCAAAAAAAACTCACACACAACATGCATGATTTGCCCACGGTACCCTAACCCTATCCCTCCAAGGACGTCATAGTTAGGGCCCTAGACCCCTTAAGGACCCCATAATAAGGTCCCTGGAGGCATAGATCCCGTTAAGGAACCCTATAGATCCCCTTAAGGAGCCCTTTAAGGAACCCTAAACCCTTAAACCCCTAAACTTGAGGGTAAACTTGCCTCCACCTTGGCTTCGTGCTTGGCTGCTCTTTTCTGCTTCTCTTCCAGGTAGGCATCGATATCCGGCTTCGACCTCGTTTAGGGTGTAGTAGGGTTTAGGGTTTAGGGGTTTAGGGTTTAGGGGTTTAGGGTTTAGGATTTAGGGGTTAGGGTTTAGGGTTATTTAGGCGTGTAGGGTTTAGGGTTTAGGGCTCTAACCCCGAAACAACAGACTATACTTACTTGGAAAGGGGCTTGATGTATTTGAGCGTAGGATATCGGTGTTGGTTCGGAAAGGCAAATGCACATGAGAATCGTCTACTCAGGAGTAATTGACACGAGAGTTCACTAATCGCCTTAGAGTACTCACCGGTCTGGAAAGGTATCTACAATAACGTGGGAGGTGTATCATGCCATACAAACATACCGCATAAAACAGCCTGCGAGATGAACTTTGTGGATACTTCATTCATCAACCTGAACATCCCGAGGCTACCCCCAAAACCGTTCACCCTGACACCCCACCCCCCAAATCTTGAGCCCTCTTCAGCTTAGAGGTAGGCGGTATGCCAGAGTCTGTCAAACTCGATGCAGCGAAGGCGAGAGACTAGTGACTAGACGATAAACAGAAGGGGCGAAAGAGAGGGAAGGCAGGCAAGGAAAGAGCTGCCACAAAGACCCTGCGGAAACCTTATAAAGATTACAAGGGTATAGGGATTAGGTAGAAAGATTACAAGCATATTACAAAGATTCATGCTCTCGGCTAGGGCTTTGGGCTGGGGGTGCAGGATTTGGGCATCCAAGGATCAGGGCTTTGGGTCACCCAGAAATCCAAATTTTCCTAACCCGTGACCAAATTCAACCTTTATACATATAACTTGGGGTTAAACGAAACCCCAAACCCAAAACCCTAATACCCTAAACCCTGAACCCTGAAACCCCAAACCCTAAAGCCTCTTGAGCCTGAAGCCCCGCACCATAAACCCCGAAGCCCTCAATCCTAAACCCCGCAAGCCTGCACCACAAAGCTTGCATCAAACCCCGGATTTCAATCGCCCATAGAACCATGTCACATTTTATATGCTTTAATATATAATCCATTGGAATACTATTGTAATAAGCATCTAAAAAATCGTAAAACCACCGTTCTTATTGTAATAAGGCATCTAAAAAAATCGTGAACCCACGAAATGGAAGGCTGAATCTTCCGAGCTTTGGGCTTCTCGATGAGTGCAAAAGCCTGCCAGGCTTCGCCCTAAGGATCCATGTACCCAAATACGGTTGATGACATAAATCCTAGGGTTCCTTTAAAGGGATCTATAAGTGTACCTTTAGCGGGTTCATTTAAGGGATCTATAGGGTATAGGCTTATAGGGTTTAGGGTTGGTGATATAAATCCTGCATTACCCATAAAAAGTTATATACCATAATTCCCTGGGTTAGGGTCCTTAAGGTCACGCAGGATTTATATCATCAGCCGTAGTATGTACTTTGGCCCCAAAGTAGCTAATGTATATACTATGTGAGTACATGGACCCTTGGGGTAGGGGGTTTAGAATTTGAAACTTTACACCGCTGAAGAACGAATTCCCTTGACGATGAAGTTTCAAAGCCAAAACCTGTACCCAAGCAAAGACATACGTAAAACTCGTAATTCGGATGCATCTGTCCGTCTGTATGTCTGTCTGCCTGCCTATTCAAGCTAGGCCCCAATGGCAAGGCAGTTGGCGAAGCTGGATGGCCCCGTCTTCTGTGTGATGGGTGCTTAATCCAAGAAGGTCGGGTCCCGTTCTTCTTTACCAGAAGAATGACAACTTAGGTAGGAAAAGGAATAGCACAGGGATGCCCTGAATATCATGTGGATGTAGCCCATGAACAAGAAAAGTCACCTATCCCAGGGCTGAAGTTTACCTAAGCCCTAAGCACTGTGTAGGGTTTCGGATGTAGGGTGACGGCACATCACTTGCAATCTTGAAGCTAGCAGGCTAGCACCCGAATCAGTCTTGAGCTGTGCTGGTGGTCGGAGTTCGAGGGTTTGTTGGCTGGTGCACGTTTCGCCCTTCGGGGCCTGCCGCTGCATTCCAATACCTAAAGCGACCCCCACTCCCCGAAACACCAATCCAAACTAAACCCTAAACCAAACCGTATACCGATGCCCTTCAGCTCCCTGAAATAGGGGTTACCTATGGTGTCCAATGTAGCTCCCTCCTTTTCTTGGTTCTAGCCAATTCTATACTGGGATCCTATAACGTACCCCCAGACAACGAATCATGCTGGAGACTGTAGGCATAGGGTTTTGTGTTTCTCATGGCGCTCACAGATAAAGCGCTAAGGGAATCAAGCAGTCCCGACAAAACTCCAGGCAACACTGCAGTCTCCGACGCCTGAAATCCCAAAACAAACCCGGAGTAGTGCGAGAGTGAATGCATAAACCCACAGAAACCGGAGCTCCGATTGCGGAAACCCTGAACCTGTCATGTCTAATCCCCTTTGGCTTTGTGTTGGTTGGCATTTCAACGGTTGTTTAAAGGGATACCGGCTTGTGTCTAGAGTTTAGGCTAGGGTTTTTGAGCACCGAATCACTTGACAGCCTCGTTGAGCTTGGCAATGGTGCTGGACAACGTAAAGGCGTCGTCTGTGTAACATTGGCCTCTGTTCAAGACGCGTGGCCCCTGCAGGGACTCCTTTAAGGCCTAAGTATCTATTCACAAGGTATATGAGCCTTTGCGCTGCTTTATTTAAGACTCTCAGACAAGAAAGGGCCCATGAGGACGGTATCAGATCCAAGCCGTAACAGCTCTGGCGTGCAGAACCCCGAATGTTACAAGCTAGACGCACCGCGCCTCCGGTCGTTTATCATAAGTTGGCTTTGAGTTGTTGATTTTAAGATCACGAACAAAGATCAAGGTATATCAAGAGTATGATATAGAGTAGACAGTAGAGAGAGGTGCGTGAGTCATGCTTCCGCAGCCCTAGTCGAAGGCATCTGCCTGTTTTGGGTGTTGGACTGCCTGTGAGTCAGTGGTTGCCTGCAAAGCCCGAACTTGGAAACCTGGAAGCACATCCGAAAGAACGGCCCTAAGCCCCGTACCCTAAACCCTAAACCCATAAGCCGTAAACCCTAAGCCTAAACCCCGTACCCTAAGCCTCAATGCCCTAGATAAGTAGAGTTTGCCTTGGGAACCATCGAAAATGTACAGCGTCCTTAGCACGAACACTTTAGGGTTCATGGGGATGTAAAGACCCCAAATTCAGAAGCCATAGTTCTTGTAAACCTCCCCGTAAGGGTCCATGTAGCCAAATAGTATATACTTTGATCCCAAAGTATCTATATAGGGCCAATGCATATGCTATTTGAGTACATGGACCCTTACCCTAAGGCTCAAAATAGCCCAAAAGCCATTTATAGTATGGTCTTTGGGCCCAAAGGCCTTATTAATATATGAGTCCTTAGAGCCTTAGGGTGAGGGTCCCCTGTGCACATGTTACTGGGCGCCGGGCAGAAAGTCACAGTCGCCAGTTGCCAGGCTCGCCCCAGCCTGATGAACGAAGTTTGAGCGAATCTGCCTGTCTATTCACATACATATGTATATATATATATATATATATGTATATATCTATATATATATATATATAGTCAGATAGATAGGGTTTTAGAGGTTAAGGGCTTAGGGTTCAGGGTTCTAACCTTCAACCCCGAACCCTCTACCCTATAAAACCTGAAGGGCGTAACGGCTTTAGGGCCGAGGTTGTGTGTAGGGGTGGAGGGCTCGGCAATGCCGCACCTGACACATGACGGACCTCTTAGTTGCTGAGTTCATAAGAAAGGTTGTAAGCCACAAACTTCGTAAGATACAATGCACCATGTTTCTGAGAGCCCTTCGAGTTGTTTTTGACGTTCCTCGTGTCTTCCTCGGCATCTTACGGACCCTCCCATCCTAAAACAAAGGTTAACCCCGAAGCCACACACACCCTGGTAGAAACCCGAATAATATATCACAAACCCAAAGGCTCAAAATAGCCCGAAAGCCTTATATAGTATGGTCTTTGGGCCCAAAAGCCTTAATATATGTGTCCTCAGAGCCTCAGGGAAAACAGCCAGGGTCTCAGGGTTCAGGAAAGGGTGTTCCTCAACGCTTTCAGGAATCCCAGCATGACGTGGGGTCAACTTCGGATACGTCGAAAGCCGCTTTCGATTTTCCTGGAACTATAAGGGTAATGTAGGGGGCCTTAATATTTAATTAGAATAGGGTATTGGGGTTCCTTATTACAATGAAAGCATAAGATACCCCCAAAACCCTATTCTAACTAGTAAGGCCGCTATAGTACCGGGTGAATCAGCCGGCTTAGCCGCGGACATTTGGCGCTTCTCATCCTTCACCAACGGGTTTTGGAGCTTCGGGGACGCCAGCTCATGATTCTATCCCAAAGGCTCAAAATAGCCCAAAGGCCTTATATGGTATGGTCTTTGGGCCCAAAAGCCTTAATATATGTGTCCTTAGAGCCTCGGGGTATACTCAGGGGCTGAATACCCTAGCCCAAGACAGGTTTAGCACTTTCGATTATGGTAGGATTATATGTAGCCCAAAAGGGTTAAAGGTTACGTAACAGTATATACCGCCTAAGCAGCTCGAGACTTGCAACGCAGACACCGATCCTATAGCTCCAGAACTCAAATTTCGAGCTCGGAATTTGATGTGGGTTAAGGGGCTTCATTAGAAGCTTCTAAGCATGATTGGCTTGGTCCACGGGTTATTAGGTCAGTGGGGTGTGAGGCCTTGGGTGCTTAACAGCTATGAGGGAGATTGCTGGTAAGTTGCCCAACTCTGTGTTCAATTTACCCAGTTCGATCCACCTTGATTCGACGATATCCGTGAGCCATGTAATATAAAGAAACGCTTGTTGCTTTATCTTCCCTAAACCCTAAACCCTAAACCCATTTCAACTGGTTCTCTGGGCCCTAAGCCCAAACTCCTCCGGAGCTGATTCTGGTCTTGAAGATGATTATGGCCTTCTTGTGGCATGTGAGACGTTGAATATCTGGGCCTTAAGGTTTAGGGTTTAGGGTTTAGGGTCATAATTAGAATACGGTTTGGGGGTACAGTATAGGTGTACTATTGTTACTATAAGGAGCCCCCGCAATAGTAATGCCAACTAGTTAGGCCCCCATATGGTATGATCACCAACCTATAATATCACCAGTTCTTGAGCACCGTATATAAGTGGCTACCTAAAGCGGGATCACTTGTAGGATCGCCATGGACTTATGTGACGACTTGCCGACAAGACGAGCACCCAAGGCACAGCCACCACATCGCAAAAGCACTTCCATGTTTACCCATAGGCTCCATTGTCGTTCCTTTCTGGGATTATCACATAGGATCCTAAATATGAACCACAAAAAGGAACTACATTGGAGCCTATGGGTAAACATCGAAAATCCTGTGGGACTCGCAGGAAATCACGGAGTCTACAAAAGGGAGTTGTGGACGTGGTTGCTGTTGCAACACTAGACCATGAACACATCTGAACACGTATCTGAAGGATGTCAACACTTGTCCAATTTCTTGTGCTGTTCTTATTTACGTTTCATACTGATCAGCAGAATCCTTTACAAGTAACAAGTAGGCTTGACTTCGCTTGCGATCATGGCCCCAAATATCTTCACTGTGTCCTCCTGGAACCACAGCGAGTTGTAGGAGAGAACATACTCGAAAACCTGACCGGCGTGGGCAGGTCTGCTGCAGATTGCAGGGGCGATGCTGGACATTGCTTGGGTCTGAAGCCAGCTGATGCTTAAAGTGGCTCAGGGTTAGGGTTAAGGTGGGTTTAGGGTTGGTTCTGGGTAGTGCTGATCTGGGGGCAACTATAGTCGTCAACAAAGGAGTGACGTGAATCTTCTACTTGCGTTATGTTACTTGCCATGCCAGTCTAGAAGTGTGTAGGTGTTGCAAATTCAGAGTCGTCTCATTTGTTACCGGACACGTCTTTGCCCATAGCACTAATGGACATTCTCCATGGGGACAAATTGTTACGTAGGCACCTCAGGATTTCGTGACATAAGCAATGACGCAGTGATTGTGATTCTCGCGTAATATCCAGCGTCACAGAGCCCATTGAGCTAAGGTTCCAGCACAACTCCAAGAGCAACAATGTAACAATATTCAGAAGATGCCAAAACCCAGCTTAAATCCTGAACCCTATACCCCAAATCACAAAACACTATTGCTAAACCCCAAATCCCAAAGCATACCCAAATCCTGAGCCTACCTAGACTTACAGCCCGAAGACCTCGAAATCCCCAAACCCGACGACTCGGCAAATCCGCACAAGAGCCGCCCCAACCCCTGAAAAAAAGTTTCTAGAGCCCGAAACCCAAGACCTTACACCCTAAACCCAAAACCCTAAAACCTCGACCGTAAAGACAATGGATTAGGCTCGCCCAAGAGTTGAGCCCTCGGCGCAGATGACGTCCTGTCGACCTTCCGAATCCTTCGAAGGTGTTCAGTTTAGGGTTTAGGGCTTCCAAAGCCTTCGGTTTAGGGTTTAGGGTCAAGGTCTTCCTTCCTTGAGGGTAGTAGGGAGGTTTTTAGTGCTTATTGTTTACGGGCTTAGGGTTGATTTCCACTTGAATGGCTCCTGGGGTCTGGTTTTAGGGTCTGGGTTTAGGGTTCATACAGGGTTTAAGTTTAGGTCTTGAGCCGAGGGTTTGGGATTTGTTGTGTTCGTGTGTTTTTCGACATGGGAGTTTCCGAAAATTAGGGCTACCTCGTTTCGGAGTCCTTACAAGAAGGATCCTACTATTTAGGGTACCATGTTAGGGTCCCCTATAATCGGAATCTCCCACATGTTGAGCCCAAAGAGCGAATCCGGGATAGAAGCGTGGTTGGAGGATGCACACGCGCATTTAGCAGGTGCGGGGGTAGATCGTTCTCTACATGAAGACCCCTAAACCCCTGAACCTTAAACCTCTACACCCCACACATGGAAATGGGTCCAGTTTCGAAAGTACTATCGCAATGAAGGGAAGAACACGGCTTCGACGTATCATAGTGGAGGACCTAAAGTAAAGCGACTTTGATGAACTACTCTTGCCAGTTATTCCGCTGTATAGTAGGCAGTAGGCTGTATTACTCTAGACAAACCCATGCAACTCGGCTCAAGCTTAGCTTGTTGGCGGCTGTGAGCTTCGGCAAAAACATGAGAAAACGGCCCTTACGAGGGGCCCCTCTTCTGTTGAGAACGCCCCTGCTAGTCGGGAGATGCAGAATTTTAGAGATACCCCTTTTTTTGGGGCCCGGCAGGCTTCGAAGAAGGGTCTCCTGTTCTCCGAACCCCTCCCCCCATAGGGTTTAGGGTTTAGGGTTTAGGGTCCCCGCAACTGTACCTTAGAATCAGCATGGCCTCGGCGAGGAAAGGCAGCTTAGTCACATCGTTGAGCACCCGGAAGATGTACTCGCGATTATCCACGTTCATGTACTCCTGGATCAGGTCTATAAGACCAGTTTCCTACATCGTAGGCCACTGGGTTATGGGTACTATTGGGCTTAAGGAGCTGAAAGCCACTACATTATATACATACATATATATATATATATATATGTATGGGTAACTAACCTTCTGGGGGAGGCTTGATGGCTGAGGATGGCCTCGAACCTTACATGCCAAAGCCTCAGCCGAACATTCCTTGAACTTGTGGCTTCTGGGGTTGAGCATTTAAGTTGTAGCAGGGGTAGGGAGTTTAGGGTTTAGGTTTAAGGAAGAGGGCGAGTTAGCGGTTACCTACCCAGCCCCCAAGCTTTCGGGGCGGTAGCAATGCTAGGAAGACCCGGGATCCAGGCCCTACCCAAGAAAGCCACAATGCGTCCCCACCACCGTAAACCCTAAATCCTAAACCAAGATTTCGAAACACCAATCCCCATACTTGTAACTTAAGCTCCAGACCCCTACAATCCAGACACTGAAACCCCAGATCTTTACCCGCTATGCGCCCCTTGGACCCAGAGCACAACTACAAGTTTCAACAATCTCTTGGGGCTACCCAAGAGTAACCAAGGTACCTTGAACAAAGTAGATGTAGCAGTTTTTGAAGGCCAGATCCGTGATTTGAGGTGCATGGACTACACAACCTCAGGGTGTTGTTTGGGCTTCGGGTTTGGGGCTTAAGCCAAAGGCCGAGAACATGGACTTAAAAAGGACTAGGGCTCCTTTAAAGGTTCCTTTTGAAGTGTTCTAAGGGTTACTCTAGCGTTTATGTTGTAGACACCCTTAGAAACCAGAATAGACTTGGGAGACAGCTTATACTGTAATTGCAAAAGCACTCTACGGAGAACTACAACTACATATTGAGGTTCCCACATTGAGTCTTCTTTCCTGGCTTTTTTCAATGCGTGGTTCTCGTACCCTTCCGGCAGGCTTTGGACCTATCGCAGTCATTGAGTCATATGGTCTTTGGACAGAAACCAAAAAGTTATATATGTAGATCCCTGCCTAATATGGGAGATACTGAAAAGAGTGGACCCCAACCAATATAGTACGCTAAATAGTAGGATCCGAATGCAGACTAACAGCCCCCCTAGACCCAAGAGTATCCTAGGAATAAAAAGGGTGCCCTTTTTGGTTTAAAGGGGCTTATAAGGGAACCTGAACCCGAAAAAAGGGAACAAGGGCCTATTCTAGGTCCTAGCCCCCTAATTTTCGGGGACTCACATATCTGCTTCTCCCCCAACGACAATGGAGACTGAACTGCCCAGCCTTGGTCCACCGGTAAAGCAGCTTGACGACCTCCGTTTGAGGCTTTAGGGTTTAGGGGTTACGGGTTTGCGGGTTTGGCAATGTTTCAGGTTCGGTTTGGTGCATGATTAATGATTAGTACCCAAAACGCACACACACACACCAGCTGTAGGTTATCATTGCAGGTGCGGCCTTTGCTGCAGATCAAAAAAAGAACAACTCAAAACTCCCCCAGGCTCTAATGAATATTAAAGACCCTTTTTCTAAATTATCATGTTAACCTACACTGTAGTTAAGCTTGTGACCCTACACAACCAAAGCCTCGAGTGATAGACTCTACATCCTGCACGGCAAATCGCGTCAACCTGGACGCCTGAAATCCATACCGTTGATGGTATAAAACCTGCATTACCTTAATGACCCTAGACTATGGGCATTTTGGTATATTCCTTGATGTGAGTACTGCAGGATTTGTATCATCAACCGTACTGGCCCTTGAACAGCAAGAATTACCCTAAACCCTGAACCCCTGAACCCTAAACCCTACACCCTGAACCCTAAACCCTGAACCCTAAACCCTGAACCCTGAAAAGTAAGACATGTCGCCTTCGGAAACTTCGTCCGCTGTGGGAGAACTGCTGCGAGCCGCTCAAGGCCTTCCAGCGAAAGGAGGCGAAAGCCAGTCGAGGTTCCCAACCCTAAGCCTCTGGGTTCTTGTTAAAGAGCTGAGTTTAAGTTACCATAATAAGGAAACCATGTTTATTACCATAGGTCACTATTCTGGTAACTTGAACTAAATTCCTCCACAAGAGGTGGGTTTGGGGTGAAGCAGAATGTGTGACAATACAACTCCGGGGATGCGATGGTGTACGTGGAGGTTCATGGATAGTTATAAGCAGGGTTATGAGTAGGAAAACTATATTTATAACCAATATTAGGGGACTTATCACCCACTGGTAATCCCATGAACCTCCAAGTAGAGCTATCTCAATCCTGCGACCCTAAAGGCAGACCTCTTTATTCCGAGGCCTTGGCTTCTTGGGACATGTAGGGTTTGGGATTTAGGCTTTAGGGTTTAGGGGTTTACGGTTCAGGGGTTTAGGATTTAGGGTTTAGGGGCTTGGGTTTGAGGTTTAGGGGTCTAGGGTTGCGGGTTTAGGGTCAACCAAGACCTACGCTGAGAACTTACGGATGTCTTGCAAGACAGGACTTCCACAAGGATTGATGTTGCAATCACTAGGTTCTTGTTATGCCAGGGATTTACTTCAAACTGCCATAATACGGAAACCATGCTATTTTTTGGCTATAGATCCCTATTCTGGTAATTTACAGTTGAATTCTTAAAACAAGAAACCAGATCACTGAGCCAGTCAAAGTGAAGAGGCGGGCCGGTCTCGGGCTTAGGGTTTGGGGTTCACGGGTCTAGGGTTGAGGGTTCAGGGTTGGGGGTCTAGGGTTGAGGGTCTAGGGTTGAGGGTTTAGGATTCAGGGTTGAGGGTTTAGGGTTCAGGGTTGAGGGTTTAGGGTTTCCATCCATGCATACATTCGCTTTCGCTTTCGCTTTCTGGGCAATGAGTTCGGGTCGAACGCAGCCGTTGGGATGCACCTAATTACATTCAAAAGCCTGGCGCAGAAATCTGGCTGAGGCATGTAAACCGTGCCAGTATGCACTCAAGCATGTCAGAGCGGGTAGAGTGAGATGTAGCCGACCAGCCCTTTGGACCGAAAAGTCGTCTCACCTATGACCCGCCAAACCCGAACAAAACGGGAAAATTAAACTCCCAAAAGTCAAAACCCTAACAAGCAAACCAGCAGCTGTACAAAAAACTCTGAGTTGTTCCTCCTGGGGCCAGGGAGGCAATCATCAGAGCAACACTACCCCTTACAAAGTGCAGGATCGGCCTCAAGGAAACAGTCCCTGCACGAATCTACCGGTAACTCAAACAAAGCTCTGCGCCTATTCCTCCGGGGGCGGGGGGAGGCAAACAGCAAAGCTACACCCCACACGATTATCAAATGAACCGTGCCCGCTCAAGACATACATGCATGCACAGTGACAGCGTGTATACAAGCACGCATGCCGAGCACATATAACGCATCAAGCAAGTAAGATCTTAGCAAAAGCTGCTAGGTTGCAGGCATCCACCGGATCATCGAGCTACAGCTGCTGCAAGAGCAAGGACCCGGCCTGGTACACGAAGGCACCGATGGAGCCGATGGCTACGACACTGCCGCACTCTTCGTCTAAACTTGGCCTCAAGATCCAAGGTGATCGTCTTACCCGTTAAGGTTTTGACAAGGATCTGCATGCCGCCTCGCAAACGCGGCGCCAAGTGAAGGGTCGATTCATTCTGGATGTAGTAACCCGGGAGAGTACGGCCATCCTCTAACTCCGACTGCTTGCCAGTAAGGATATCCTGGAACGTAGCCTTGACAGTGTCGAACGTGCCACTGGCCTCAACGTCCAAAGTGACCGTCGTACCCGTCAAGGTCTCGACAAAAATCTGCATGCCGTCTCGCAAACGCGGCGCCAAGTGAAGGGTCGATTCATTCTGGATGTAGTAACCCGGGAGAGTACGGCCATCCTCTAACTCCGACTGCTTGCCAGCAAGGATATCCTGGAACGTAGCCTTGACAGTGTCGAACGTGCCACTGGCCTCAACGTCCAAAGTGACCGTCGTACCCGTCAAGGTCTCGACAAAAATCTGCATGCCGCCTCGCAGACGCAGCGCCAAGCGGAGGGTCGATTCATTCTGGATGTTGTAACCCGGGAGAGTACGGCCATCCTCTAACTCCAAATGCTTGCCAGCAAGGATCAGATACTGCTGGTCGGGCGGGACACCTTCCTTCTCCTGGAACGTAGCCTTGACGTTGTCGAACGTGCTACTGGCCTCAACGTCCAACGTATTCGTCTTGCCTGTCAGGGTCTTGACAAAGAACTGCATGCCGCCTCACAAGCGCGGCACCAAGGCGTGCCCTCCATGGGCACTGGGGCTAACGATATTCCGCGCTGTTGCGGCCATTCGAGCCCTTGAGCCATGGGCTTCCTCATCATGGCGAGCGGGAGGAATGACAGGGCGATGCTCATCGACTGCCCGCTGCCAAGGAACTCCCTGGCAACCACCTGGTGCTTGGTACGGATTGCGCATGTCAGTAGCAGCACCACTGGCGCTGGGGTCCTGGTCAGACCCACCGGAAACAGACAGGGTGGAAGGTTCAAACTCAACCTTAAAAACACCCCCATTGTAAACCCGGAATACAGAGCCGCTTTTTGGAAGACCACTGAAAACTGGCCGATAACCCCGAGGGGGTCGGTGCTCTAGAAATTGCTGGAGGTCAGTCTCCTCAACTTGACAGTCTCTGACATAGCGGAAGGTGGGCTTACCTCCAACAGGTCTACAGTCAAGAAAGATGATAGCACCTGGATCCGCACTGCCAAGTTCAGTGAGGGAGCCTTGGCGGGCTGCGATGACACCTGCAAGGAGAACTCCCTGATGCACAAAGGGGTGGAGTGTTGCCTTGTCAGGTTTGCAGAGCATAAGGCGGTCTCGTCGGCAGTGCAACGCGCTGGCTGCATGAGACTCAAGGGTCTCCTCAGAACGTGCGGGGTGGACAATGTCCCGATCAATGTTCGGTGCCAGGACAAGAAAAGAATCAGAGACCTCCTCACTGACAATCTGTCGGATCTCAGCTGTCAAGAAGTCAAGATTCCTGAGGCAATCGGCAGAGGGAGGGTACCAGTGCGGTCTGTCATAGACAGCAACAAACTTCAAAGTGTCACCTGTGACTACCCGTATGGCTTTGTCAGAACGCAGAGGATCCGGACGCCCAGTTTGAAAAGCATCCCAGGGGGATATGGTGTGGCGGTTGGCGTGTTCGAGGACCTGGGCATGTGGAAGATTCCGTTCTACAATGGCGGCATAGACAGGCCCTCCAACTGCGGAGAAGTCAAAGACAATCTCTGCACATGAGGATTGCTCTAGCCACTGTGGCACAAGAAGAAGCGAAACATAGCCCTCCTCTGGCTGAGGTTCAACAAAATCTAAATCGGACGCAAAAAAGACCCTTCTCGGGCTGAGTTCAGCAACAACTTGTTGCAGGAACAGCTCTGGAGTGACTGGTACCGTGACAGACACTTGCACAGCTTGAGTAGGGTATCCTGGAGAGAACAGGACGCACTGAACCTTGGTGACAGAATGGGCTGTGGCAGCCTCAGCAGCCGAACCCTGCCTTTCACCTGTGCTGCACGCAGTATCACCAATTTGTGCTTGGGGGTCCGAGGGAAAAGGATCAGGTCTGCTGGCAGATTCGCTCTGTGAGGCAATCCCGTTGTCATGTTCACGAGGCAAATCGTCATAACAGGCTCCATGCAGCCTGAGTGGCATGGCTCCTATGCGAACAGGGCAGTTGAGCATCGCTAGCAACCAAATAGCGAGCCTACTCCCTGTTGGGAGTGTACCCTTCAAGCGTCTATGCTGACAACCCTTTGATCCTTTACGTGCTGCATGGGCGCGGAAGCTTTCAGAAGACTGGCTTGGGGAAAATGCTCTGAGACACAGGAGTATTCTGGTCGTTACTCCCTTGCACGGCAAACCAAGCAATCTTCCAAGGGGCTCACTTCTATCTGGAATTTGTTGCCAGAGGCACAGGTAGAGCGCAAGCGCGAAGAGGAAAAGGACAGCCCTACACAGAGGCAAGAGGAAGTTGCCAACAGCGAGTAGAAAGCCGAGGATTCTGTCCCCCTGGGAGGAGGATGAGGCACAGAACCCAGTGGATGGGGGCCTAAACCCAAGAGGTCTATGGGTTTGAGTGTGACTAACCAGTTCCCCGGCGGACGCCCCAGAACCACCGATACGTCTCTTAGGTGCTCGGGTAGGCTGGTCATCTGCAAAGATTGGCCGATGAACGACACAATCTAAAGAAGCAGCGGAAACGATGTTGAGAGTCCAATCCCTGAGGGTCGGGACGAAAAGAAAAGGTGGAGTGCTGCCATAAAAACAGGCGCTTGATCTCCCACACAGTTCATCAACGACAAAGAATACAGAGAGGGCAGGCGACCTCCAAAAGACTGAAATTGTTGAGAGGGTCAAACAGAGTGCCGAATGACCCGGCAGAGGGACACCAGAAGGGGTGAAAGACAAACACCCTTCCAGCCTCCGCGAGGAAGAAAGGGCCCCAATTCCACCGACATCAAACAATCCCAGAGAGATGCCAGATGGAAAAGGGTCCCGCGAGGAAATCTCAAGATCGGCACAGTGGCCTTGACAGCGAAGCGACCAACAGAAATGCAGGACCCTGCCTCCAATGTAGGGATGGTGGCCTGTGTGGCGAGAGGCAACGGAGTGCAACCATGCCCAAAACCCGACACAAACCCAATGTCGGTTTTGAGCAGGGAAGCTACTTGGAGCTCGAAGAACCAACGTCACAAGAGACCAATGTGAGTGGTCAACTGCTCCGCAATGGACTCCCGGGGACCAACTGACATGTGGAGGAAAGAAGAACCTGCAGCCTACAGGGTGAGACCGCAAAAATCGCAAGACAGCATTCATTGCCACGCTCGTGGGGTAGCATTGGCCGACAGGAGACGTTAGAGACAGCGACCTCCCCAATGAGGTGGCTGTGTCTTGTGGTCCCGGCAGCCTGCAATCCCAGCGGCCTGACAAAGAATCCGCCTTGGACTTTTGCCTACACCAACTCACACAAGTTTCGGCTATTCCATGCCAGACAGTCCTGGTTTGTGCGTCTGTCCTAGCTCGTCTTCGTCCTCGTCGATTGTAGTAGTCGTACCGGGACGACCCTCGGCATGCGCGGCCGCCGACCCAGCAGGATTCAGGCCAAAGGGAAACAATGCTCTCTTGTGTCGAATCTTTTGGGACAACGCTTCGTCGCCTGGGGCTCCTTCTGGTGGTGGAGTCGGACCAGAAGGTCTGCCACCTTCGTAAGGTCCAACACGTGGGGAGGTCGATGTATTCCTCTTCAGTCGGTCCATGCCAGGAGAAACTGAGAAAGGGGGCCCTTCCGGGCCTGTTCCACCAGAATATGGCAAAGAGTGTCCTTGTCCAGGATTGGCAGAAACATCGTCGTCTCCCCGATGGGCTGGTGCCGGCGGTGGAATCGTCAGCCCTGGGGGAGGAGCATAGTCCATGGTCTCCAGCTTGCGGCCCCATTGTCGCACATCGGAGCCTAAGATCCTGGTGAGGGCCTCTGCGTCGGACTCCGGAGGAGCGGTCTGCAAGGGCCTCGTGAGGCGCTCCCAATCCGGATCCCCATCGGCCATCGTGGCATCTGGCACGCTTCCGGTACTCAGCACAGCTTTGTAGGCTTGCCGTAGGGTATCCGATGATCTGGCCTGATTGTCCTTGGCCTCCTGTAGATCGTCGTTGAGCTTCTGCATTGCACGAACATACCTGTCCTTCTCCTGCAGATAAGACTTCTGAAGGTCCGCCTCGTAGCGCTGCCATTGTGCAAGCCGCTGCTTCTTGAGCTGAGTCAAGTGTTGGACCTTGGTCTCGGCCTTCCTGGCGTCGTTGATCTGCGTCTGGAAGGCACTCACAAGGCTGCCGTCTGTTGACATAGAAGCTGGCGGGCCAGGTGCAACTGGCTCCTCTGTCGGCTCGACCTTGCGAGCATCGTAGCGGGGAAAACGATCTTTTCCCTCGCTCTTGCCCTTCTTGGGGCTCTTCGGGTTGTCCGCCTTGCGATGCGGCGACCACGCACCACGCCAATAGCGGCCAGAGTCGTAGCTTCCATGACTGTGCCATCCTTTGTTGTCGCCTCTCCCCATACGTGTCTGCTTGACACTGAAGTGTCTAACACCTGAACCGTGGTGCCGGTGCAGGGTTCGCAGTGCTGAAGCACTGACCGGGGCTCCTGAGCGGAGCCTGCGCCTGATCTTTGATCTGCGGGCGCGAAGGTGTCTGTGCCAATTCGGGCTGCGCAAAGCCGTGGCGAAGTGGCAGGGCTAAAGGGGAGGATCGGCACCGCTTAGGGTGCCTGGGGCAGTCAGCTATCCCACTGCGGGTGTTCTGAGCCCTATGCATACATTCAGTTACATACATACACGCACAGACATACAAACGTACAAATGTTACATGCAGCCATGCATGCATACCTGCGGACGTACACCTGCCTGCGTATTGTTAACTTGGTGAAACCAAATGTAACGCACTCCTTTTACAGATCTTGCAAGCATGTCTACGCCAAACTCCCCGAACCTCTAAGCTGCACGCGACAGATGCTTAGATGTACTTCTATAAATCAAAGGGCCATAACATGAACCGAGACCCGAAACGCTGCGTATTCCCTGCGCCCTCTGGCCTTGCAGAACATCCACATTGGGCTTCTTGATCCTCAGATGCAGAACAGGGCATCCCGTGGTGTACCGAATCTTGCAGTTCCTTGCCCAAAGGCTTCATGTACCTTTATTAATAGATACTTAGGGCTTAAGGGGGTCCCTATACAGGTACTTCAAGGCCTGTGTATAAACTACATGGCTACTTGGAGCCTTGGGGTTGCAATTTAGGGTTTATGCTGGCGCTATATATTTGGAGGTACATGGCTAGTTATAAGTAGGCTTCTAAGTAACTATAGTTATAATAACCCATATTGGGGGACTTGTAACACCACTTATAACTACCCATGAACCTCCAAGTATAGGGATGCTGAGATCTGTTGGGTTTCGGTTTAGGGTTTAGGGTTTCTGAGATGTAGGACTCGGGTTCACGACAGGGTAAGGGTAGAATAGCAAACAGCAACCCTGACATGTGAAACCTGAAACACCAACAAACACAAATCCTCGAATCACAAATCCTAAACTAAACCAATATGACGGGGTAACCTTGATGAGCTCTGAACCCCGAAACCACTAAACCGGAATCCTATTTGGGTCCCCGACTTCGACATCTTGTGCCTTCTTCTTCTTTTGCTTCGTCGGAAGGTGGGAATCCGCTCCTGCACTTCTCCCATTTTGGGGGGTGGCCAGTACTGTTCCTTTTGGGTTCCTTAGTGTCCGCTCCTTTGCTTTCTCTAACTTGGCCCGATAGATTTTCCCAAACCCTATTCCAACTTTTGAAGCCCATACTAGATCATTGCTCAGATCGTCACAGCTTCAGCCGAGGAAGGTCTGAAATTTATTAGAATCGAGCTTGGGGTATATTATACTATAACTCTAACGAGGAACGCCCAAAATAGTAGTAGGCAAGTACTAAGACCCCCACAGTACTTTGCATCGCGCGCAGCATTCCGAGAGAAAAGGGACTCAGATCTACCAGCCAGAGGCTCAAAGGGTTTCTGTCGCAGCGGGAGACCCTACACCCTAAAGCCCATCTTTGGGGGAAAAACTGGGGGCTTGAATGAGTTGAATAGGGTTTGGGGCCCAGTTTAAAAAATCATAATAAGGAACACCTACAAAATAGTATATAGTTAGTTATTGAAGCCCCAAAATTAGGGTGTTAAGGTTGGGGGTCAGGGCTGTGAGACTCGTTTTTTCAAGCGAAGGACAAGAATGCATCCTGCACAGAGTGGCAGCAAGAAATTAAACGAACAAGAAAATAACGAAGACTTGAGGGCTTGCGGCCAACGCAGGGGCCTTTAATTAGAATAGGGTCTTGGGCTACTTTACAGTACCAGGACCAGGACATGTTACTCTTAGTACAAGGCTTGTTCAGATTATCACAACTATGACACCGACCATCGTATACTGCTGATGTACAAAATGCGTCATTACCCTAAGTGCCCCGAATCAAGGCAAGTACTGTACACGCAAACCGACAAGGACAACTTCGAAAACCCGGTCAAAACCTTTCTGAAACCACAAACCCATAAATGAAAACTAACCTTAGTAAAGGTCTTGTTGAACCCTTACAGTACCCTCATCAAGCCGTTCTAGCCCCGCAAAACCCTGCAACTCCCCAAACAAGACCCTCTACCAACAAACCCTATCAAAGATGCTGTGAAAACTCATCAAAACCCTATCAAAGGGGCTGAGGGTTAGCCCCCATTAGAATTAGAAGAAGCAGGAAGCGCCTTATCCCTAACCTCAAACCCTAAACCCCAAACCCTGTTTCCCTAAACCGAGAGCGCCTTATCCCCAGGCAGATGCATGCGCTTCTCGCCGTGCACTTCGCCTCTTCTAGCCTGTTGCACTCTAAACATCGGTCTTGGGAAAAGGGAAGCAGACATTGCTTGGAGGGCCGGGGGACTTAGTAAGTAGTTATTTTATGGAGTTATCATTACCGTAACCCCAATTTGGGTCCCTATAATGAAGGAACCTATAACGCTGTATAGTAACTACTTACTAAGTCCCCCGACTTCCAAGTGCGGTTTCTGGTTCGGGGTTTAGGGCTTGGGGTTCAGGGTTTAGGGTTTGGGGTCCTAGAATATGTACTGCAACAACCTTTTAGCAAAAGACTCAATAACATGAACTATAGGTTATGTTACCTGCAATAGGAAGACTGAGTGCAAATGCTGCTGGTGATGATGATGGTAACAAGTCATCACATACGTATGTACAGACATAGTGACACAGTGCTCACCGAAATCAGATTCCCCGTGCCTTTGTCAAATGCCGCTTCACACGTCGGTCTTTCTTGATTTCCTTTGTCCTTGCAGTGCGCATGTGGAGTGTCGAAAATCCAAGGGTAAAAGAAGGGACCCTTTTTTTAGGACCCCTAGGTATATACCCTTAATATAGCTATTATATACCCATTACATAGCCCATTATAGGGTAGGGGTCCCCATTAAGGGTCCCTCCTTTTCCCCTTTGAGAAAATGACCTCAAGGGTTCTGAATATGCGACACTGCCTACTGTAGACGCCTGACTAATTACCAACACTGTTCGTAGGCAACCAGAGGCATAACAACTACCTGAACCCCGAAAGAATGTCGAACAAACCCGCTCCGCTTATAGGTGTTGGTCAATTATTTGACCTACTTTCTTTGGGGGTTTAGGTAGTCACACTATTCTCAGTTTATGAAGCAAGAACCCGTCTGAATGTCGAAGCCTTTGTAATGCATCCACATGTCATCTGTGTCTTTCCTCGCCCTCGGTTCTGAGCATCAAGCATTATATGATGAAAGGCGACTGAAGCTCATCCATCCCCATGGATGGACATATCCCGCCAAACCGTAAAATAAAAGCTTTGCACTACACAGTAAAGGCTGGTATCCTACAACTGGCAGGGCCTCCCCTGAACCCTAGAACCCCTAAACCCTAAACCCCTAAACCAATAAACTCTGAACCCTAAATCCCTACACCGCTGAACCCTAAACCGATAAACCCTCAACCTTAAACCATTCCACTTGACTTCGAGCTGCCAGCCTGCTCTTTGCTTAAGTTGGGGTTAGGCCTACTAAGGGTTTTTATACCCAGAGGCCCCATAGTAGTTCCTTTTTGAGATTACCTTATAGGATTCTATATATGAACCCCAAAACGGAAAAGCTATGGGGCGTAGGGTTTATAGGGTTTAGAGTTTAAGGCTGTGGGTGTAAGAAGATTTTAGTTGTTTGTTTTGACAGCCGTTTTCCTTCCACAGGTCATAGGATTTGGGGTTCGGGAGTAGGGTGAGGCATGGTCCAAAAGGGAACGCAGGTATTGCACGAATGGAAACAGGCCCACAAGAGCCATATTTCCGCGTGACGGCATACTCTGGGATTAAAACGACAAAACTGGCCTCCAAAAAAACAACCTAATAACGATGACAGTTCGCGAGAGAAGCCTAGTAAAATCATGTGACATCATCGTTGAGAATGGATGGCAATATGAATTCGACCAAGCGTGGGTATGCCTGGCCTACTAGACGAGCAAGAAGTGTTTAGCACTTACGTGTAGCCCAAGAAATCCTGCAAAGGACATATATAGGAACACCATAATAGGTATCCCTAAATCGGCGGATTTTGGCCCTAAACTCACGGAGTCATAGACGTATAAAAACACTAAAAACCTCAAACCCTGAGCACAAAACGCCCCAAGCTACACACCCTAAAACCTAAACCCTAAATCCTAAACCCTAAAGCCTCAGACCACCCTCAGGCCACGACTGATGGTTGAAGTGTCTATCCAACCTTGGGTTTAGGGTCCAGCGTTTAGGGCTTCAAGGTTTCAGTTTGAGCTTGTAGGGTGTAAGGTTTAGGGCTTCCGGGTTTCAGGGTCCACTGGGTGAAGTTAGGATATTAGGGTTTGTAGTTTCCAGGGCTGACAGGGACTTGTAACCTACTTATAACTACCCATGAACCTCCAAGCAGAAGTTATGATGGGGATTGAAGCTTGCGCTAGGACTGATGCAGTAAGAACTGCCCCTCGATGTATCGTGGTACCAAAGGAGCAAGACCATGCTACCGAGAAAGGAAAGGGATGTAACAATGCAAAAGTACGTATGTATGTATGTGAAAATACACGTATGTGTGTGTATATGTATATGCATGTGTGTATATATATATGCCAACCAAACTATTCCGCTGCGAGCAAAAACGATATGTAAGCTTGAAACCTGAAACCTAAGGCTAAACCTCGACAACACGATGAGACAACTCGGTCATTCCTATAAGCACGCATTTCATCGTTGTAATTCTAAAGTCTTAATTTAGTTTAGCGTGTAAGATGTCAGGTTTAAGGCAGAGACCTGGGATGAACTAGATTTCGACTTTGCAAACAGGTTCACCACAAAGAATGTAGTGCGCTCAAACTCTCGAGTGCTCCATGCTGGACAATCCTCTGCTAGATGGTTTGCAATTTGCTGTTGCCAGCAAGCGGGGTCAGGCGAAAACTGGCACGTGGACAGCTATGCGCTGCGTGAATGTAACTACATACGACTGATACTACGGTTGATGATAAAAATCCTGCATTACCTTGATGGCCCTAGACTAAAGGAGTTATGTTATATTCCTTAGAATTGGTAATGCAGGGTTTATATCATCAACCGTAGCACCCAGGCAATGGAACACACAGAAGTAAAACTCTTCTATACTTGCTAGCGAGCCAGGAAATTCTATCAGCACTCTTCAAGCTAATTGCAAACTACTACCGTCATTAAAGTAACGATCAACAAACAGCCCAAACAATACTGCGCCCTGAAACTGACACAGGTGATTCACAACGACTTGCAATCCAGATCAACCAGAAACTCACCACTAGAACTCCAAGCCCAGCAACTCGCGCTCTTTGCGTCCTCTGCCTAAGAGCTTGTAGGCGCCTTCGCCTATCCTGGGGATGGGAGCTGTACGTGGACCCTGTTTCGGTCTGCATAATCGTTGTCCCTACAAGAAACCTGCAATACAACAAACCCTACAAACAAAAAACAACTAAAATTGTGGATCCAGGTGTACTTTAGGGCTTCACATTCTTGGTTATGGTTCTGCAAATTGGGGTTTAAGGCTCAGGTTTTGGGGTTCAAGGGGTTTAGGATCTCTGGTGCTCTGGGAACGAGGCTACGAGACACCAAGAGCAGCTCTATGCAGCATGGATATAAGGTTCTTGTAGGGAGCAGACTCACAGTTGCGGCTTGTGTTTATGCCCTCTGGCGGCACTTTGGACCGGTTTAGGGCTTGGGGTTTATGGTGTGCCTGAGCTCTACCTTTTTAAGGGTTCCCTAGTTACGAGGATTTCCTTGCGTAAGTCCTTGAAGAAAGTTGGCCACAAGGGGAGATCTTATGGCTGAACGCCCAGTGTGGGCGGTCCTGGATGTAGCACAGGGGCTTTGGATTTGGGGTTCAATATGCCATGTCAGACGTCCCTTCAACGGAGATACAGAATGTCGGGAGAAACATGTGTCTCTCTCTCTCCCTCTCTCTCTCTCTCTCGCTCTCTCTCTCTCTCTCTCTCTCTCTCTCTCTCTCTCTCTCTCTCCCTCTCTCTCTCACTCTCTCCCTCTCTCTAACTGAGGGAGAGAGAAAAAGAGAGATCGATATACATATATATCTATATATATATACATATATAATGTACATGTACACACACATGCAGACACACATGGGCATGCACATTATAGGAAGAGATGCGAGGTGAGATAACTTTACGGCATGCCCCATATCAGATATCCAAGCCCTCAACCTTCGGATGCTACGGCAGCAAGGACTCTGTCTGCCAGCGGTACACGCATGTCCTTGGACACAAATCCACTTCCCAAGCACTAAACCTCCTACACCTCGAAATTCCTGAGGCGCTGAACCCTCACCTGAACCCTCCAAAAATCCGAAAAATTCAAAAGCCACCCACTTCGAGACAACACCCACTCGCTGCATCGTAGCTGCTTCTTCATGTTCCGCTGGACCATCTCGAAAGCCTGTATTGCTTCAAGTTTGTTGATAGGGCTGGGGGTTTGGGGCTTGGCGTCTTGGATGTCAGGTTTACCTTTTCCTTATATGGGCTTGTTGAAGGCTTTGCACTTTGCAATGGTATGATGCTTGGCATACCTGTGGGCCACACCCTCCCAGACCTTCCAAAGTCCCTTGATTAAGGAGTACACCTTAAAGCATAATAGGATCCCTAATCTGATTTATGGAATTTTCCTTAATCAAATGGTTTTGGAAGGTCTGGGCTAAACCCTAAACCCACAACCTGTCTTACCCTAAACCCACAAGACAGGTTGCAGGGCTACTGAGATGTTGGGCTCTGGGTATACTTCTTGCACACAGCACGGATAAACGATTTCAGACCGGGCTCATGTCCAGTAGGGTTAAGGGTTTAGGCTTTAGGGTGTATGTTGTATGCATATATATATATATATATAGTACTAGTATACCCACCATAAAACGCCACTATATACACTCACCAATATTGAAAAGGAGGCCTGTCTACACTCACCGAAACGGTAATATAAAACACACTTTATGCGCACCGGGCCTTTGTAATTAGAATAAGGTTTGGGAGCAAAAAGCTATATCTACAACAAGGGAGACCCCGCAATAGTACTGGCAACTATTTATGCCCCTCTGGACCCCCCCCCCCCCGCTCTTGGGAGCGATCCATGTGGCTGACGCAGTGTGGCGTATACGCATTACTATTACCCATAATACATCCCAGACAAAACCTGCGCGTTATGTGGACCCAGACCTTCCAAAGTCCCTGAATTGAGGATTATACCTGAAATCAAAACAGGATCCCTATATGATTTAAGGACATGTCCTGAATTAAGGCGTTTTGGAAAGTCTGGGTAAGGCATTTACAGTTCGTAGAAGAGCGGATTGAATTCGGGAGAGCAGGCTCCGGGTTGAGGGCATAAACGTTTCTGTAAGCTACCTGGACAACATAAGGGCCTTAGTAACTAGAATAGGGCTCCTTCAAAGGGATCTCTAAGGGATCTATAAGGGTACTATAATACAGGGGCCTTAATAGCCTTAATAATTAGAATAGGGTTTTGGGGCCCATTATACATAGTTATGATGATAAGGAACCCCCCCAAAAATATGAGAGGTTGTAATTTTTAAGGCCCCTATATTAATCTCAATTCTACTCCTGTTTGGGGTTACCGTTATTGACATAAACTACAATGGAGACTAACATGTAACGGACAACTTGAGTACAACACATCCGTAACCGGCCTTGTAAGAGGTCGTTGGCATGTTTCCAAGCGAATTCCCTCTTCTAAACGTACCCTCCCTTTTTGATAGTGTGAACCCGAACGTAGAAGCACAAGTATCACAGTGCGACCAGACTTAACCACATGAAGCCTTCATGAACCCCAAGAGCACTCAGAACCCTAAACCCTAAACCCCAAGAAGCTCCCATGCAACTCTAAAGACCCCTATCAGCTCTTAGAATCCGACCGAAACCCAACAGACCCCAATAAACCTCAAGGAGTCAAACCGACATCGGGCAAGCGGGCCTTTAGAATCGTTGTTAAAAAAGAGAGATTCTGCCTCCATGACTTTCTTGGCTTGGAACTTGTTCTTCTCTGCGGCAAACCTCTTGTACCTCGACCACACAGCACAAGAAGAAGGTTCTGGAGTTCACATAGGGCTTATGGGGCATATGTAAGGCTTTGCGGTTCAGGGCTTTCAGAGTCTAGGGTGCATTCTGTAAGGTATGTTATTCTAGACCCACTTCGTGAAGAGTTGCTATTGCCCCAGCCCCACAGCAGAAAATCGTTCTGCGATCTGCCTCAGGGTTCTCGGTGTGCATGGCTTTGGATTCCGCTTTTCGTTGTTGGGGCGTTCGGGCTTGCGGTGCACAATATCTAGGGATTTTGGGTTTCGGGTCTTAAGCCCTAAACCGTGTTCAGCATCTCGGATGCCAGGAGTGGGCGTATCAGCTTCAAGGTTTGAGGATAGGGCTTGGAGCATAGGGTTCTCGGGCTCAGTGTTCCTTTGATATATGGGCCTTATATAGTAACAATGAATTACCTATACTGTTTTGGGGGTTGCTGCTTACAAATATGGTACTGGGCCCAAAACCCTATTCTAATTCTTAAGGCCCCTGTATCTGTATCAAGCTCGTGCCAGGAGGGCAAGACTATCATTTGCCTGTGCTACAGCCCATAGACGCCCCGCCCCGCCCAGCGATACACTCTAAATACCTCGTCACTTGTGGCAACTCGCTTTGAAAGCCTTTGCAGCAAGCTGTTAGGGTGTGAGCGTCGCAACTTGCGGAAGCGATTGCATGCAGACACGCAAAGCGTGCAGGAAGCCATTTGTCGAATGCAGAGTATGCTGCAACTTCTGAAAGCATCCTTAAACCGCGAAGGCTAAGTCCTCAATCCTGATAAAACGGGAACCCTGGACCCTTCCTTCAACCCTAAACCCAGCTCGTTTGCTGTTCGGTTTCACATCCTCAAGGCCAACGCTATGCTCACAACCAGAGAAGCGACGACATCGACAAAACGGACTACGATCCAACAAGCACACTCACTGAGCCTGCGCTACCATACTGCAAATACACAGTAACCTACAGACGCCGATTACATGCATACATGCATACGTAATTACCTATATATACCTACATACACACATACGTACATAAACACGTACGTGCGTACACATGCTCCTACAGGTACACATGCACATGGACATACATACACGTACACGCACACGCACACGCACACGTACACGTACACGTACACGTGCACACACGCACACACACACACACACACACACACACACAACACATATGCACATAAACATGCACGTGCATATACACATACACATGTGCATACACACTTGCATCATATGTACATACATACATGCATGCATCCATGCATGCATACAAACATCGAAGATCATCGAAGTTCTCGCAACTCATACAGTCCTATAGTTGCATCCTGTAGATGCGACAGTAATTCACTTACCCAGCAAAACATGGTGCCACAGCTGGAGCATCTTAGGGTCTAAGCAAAGCACCAGATCCAGTCTACCTGGGTGCCAGCGGGTTTGGGGGGTGTACTTTACATATTGCATTTATTACTTATATTATACCTACACCTCTGTTGTCTTATGTCTAAAATTATTGCATTATGTTATGTGGTTGTCATTGCAATCATGCAAACCCTTACGAATAAACATTGGCAATTACTCATGCTCCAGAAATTACCTGGGTCCCGAACAGCTTCTTGGCCCGCTGCCGTACCTTGTCTATGTCGCTCGGGTGCTTTACCTGGACAGCAAGCCCCAGCCAGGCTCCGAAGTGGAGGGGAATCACTGACACAAGGGACCATAATATAGGGGCCTTAATAATTAGAATAGGGATTTGGGGCTCATGTAGTTTATAGTTATAATAAGGAGCCCCCCAAAGTAGTATTAGTAATTAATGAGGCCCCTACATTAACCCTAAACCATAAGGAAAGGGATCCTCCATCTCACCTGTCTTCCTCCCACCTTCCGACACCCCTGATAGAACTGCGATCAGAGAGTTTAGCGCCGAGGGCAGAGGGAAGAGGTCCTAAATTCCTAAACACCCTAGAGCCCAGACCTTCCAAAATCCTTTAATTAAGGAATATACCTTAAATCATATTAGGGACTCTACTATAATTTAAGGTATATTCCTTAGTTAAGGGATTTTGGAAGGTCTGGGAGCCCAAGACCCAAGGATCCTGGACCGAAACCCAAGTTGAAAGAACCCGCTACGTAGGGACACAAGGCGTCTGAAGGAGCAGATACCGAACAGCAGGTGCAAAAGCGCTTGTTTCAGAAATTTATCGGATAGGTTGCAGGAGATTAACTAGTAGTGTTTAAAGCTCAAAGGGTTCAAGCGCGATTTACGGGATGGACAGACTGGCCATCGGTGTTTCGCTGTTCTATTTTTTCCGTTTACTTCGAGATTCGATGGCTAGACTTTCAATGCATTTTCCTGAACCCCTAGACCCAATGGCCCAACACGCCCCAAAATCCTTGAAGCCAGCAGACCGTGGAGGTGTTCTTTTGTCCTACATGTGGCATAGCCTCTGCCGAGGCGCGGCAGAGCAGTTTTTGCTTCCTTTTTCATATTCCTCCAAAGGCTCCATGTACCTGTATAGTAGATACTTAAGCCTTAAAGGGGTCCCTATATAGGTACTTTGAGGCCTGAGTAAATACTTTTTGTGTACATGGAGCCTGAGGGTCCCGATTTTTCAGGTCGCGCTGTGTCGATGCTTGGAGGGTCGGGGGACCTAGTAAGTATTCATTGTATAACAGACTTATAAGTACCTTACTAGGGACCCTAATTGGGATTGTAGTACTTCTAACTCTTTAAAATAGCTACATACTAAGTCCCCCGACCCTCCAAGTGGTCGGGACCCTCCAGGAAAAGAACTGATCCCGAGCCGCCACAACGGAACAACTTGGGTACGGCCCCCACTCAGTAATAGTCGAATAATATTCATTGTATAGATATATATATATATATGTATATATAATATATATATATATATATATATATATATATTAGGACCTTAATAGTAGCCCTACTATGGACTCTTACTGTATGGGGGCAGTACCTAAGGAACAACACAACCTTCCAACCTAACCAAAACGGCATACACCAATAAACCCTCAATCTTTAATCCGAGGAATTGTAGAAAACATCCATACTGCTACATGTGGTACAAGACGGCCACTAGTGTGGACGGCTGCTGTTTTATGTGATTTCCCGCATACCAACCCTAATCTCAAAAACCCTGAAGCTCTAGAACTTGATAACCCTCAACCCCTAAACCCTACGGCCCTAAACCCTAAAACACGCTGAACCTGTTGAACCCTAAACCCTAAACCCCTGAACCTCCAAACCCCTAAATCCATAAACCTACAAACCCGTAAACCCATAAACCTGCAATGCCCTAAAGCCCTAAACCTCCAAACCCCAAACCCCTAAACCTCCAAAGCCCTACACCCCTAAACCCTAAACTCCCCTAAACCTCTAAGTTGAACCCTGAGGCCTAAACCCCTAGCCGGCAGCTCCACGTGCCTGGCTCGCCGGGACTCCGAGAACTTTGTACGGATCCATTGCTGCACCTCAGCTTTGCTTTGCCATGGTCTGTTCCCAAACCTTGCAAGACCCCCTAATTACGGAACTTCCTGAAATCATCTTAGGGATCCTATTATGATTTAAAGGTACGCTCGTTAATTAAGGAAAACTCCTGAGATCCGGCTATGATTTCACGGTACACTCTTTAACTAAGGGGCTTTGGAAGTTCTGGGGTCCGGGGGGGGGGGGGGGGGTGGTTGATGAGAACTTTATGGTGGTGGATTTAGGGCTCTTAGTTCGGGATTTCGTGTGGGAGGGTTTGGTTCATCATACAGCTTAGCGATTGTGGGTGCAAGGGGTTACTTGAAGGATCGTGGCACGTGGCCACATAAGGATATAAGAATCCTACTTGGGGTTATAACTACTTGAAAGTTTTATACCCCTAGGGCTAGGATACTGATTACAGTATATACAAGGACAGAAACACAGTAATTAAGACTCATAATAATAGTCATAATCATAGGAATAACAGTTGGAGTCATAAGAATCGTAATAATCACGGTAATCCCTAAAGCCTTAACCTTCATACCGATAATCATAACAAGCGGCTGCAAGAGGAACTTACCTTTGGTTAGTAGGGAATGGAATGGTAGTAATACTAGTTATATATATATATATATATATATACCCCATTCCTCCATTCCCTACTATCCGAAGGTAAGTTATAGGATCATTAAAGCCCCTATATTATAGTACCCTTATAGATCCCTTATAGTAACCCTTATAGACCCCGTTTATGAGGCCCCTTTCATTCCTAAACCATAAACCTTAAACCCTAAGAGGAACCGGAACTTCGAGACTTCCGGCTTGGATGTTTCTTGGCGAGAAGTCGCGGCTTGGGGTTGCCGGTGGATGATGAGTGGTTCCATGATCGTGCTAGGGTTCCTTAGAGGGATCTATAAGGGATCTATAGGGTTTAGGGTTTAGGCTTTATAGGCTTTAGTTTAGGGGGGCTGTATTGGGTTTAGGGTTTAATTTTGGTTTAGGGTTTTGCTTTAGGGTTTGTAGGGTTCTGGGGTCCAGATAACCTACCGTTTTAAGGACTTCTATGAAGGAGTCAGTGTAAGGCACCCAAAAAAGGTAGGCTCTTTAGGGTCCAAGTAAACCCTAAACCCCAAACCCCTCCACCCCCAAAAACCCTAACCGCTAAACGGCCCTAAGCCGTCTTCACTCAAAGACCTACGACCCCCTGCATCTGAGGCCTAAGGAGCCTACCCGAATAAGTATCCCTCCATAGCACAGAATGGGCCTGATAATGCATGCAATATTGTACTCTAGACTACACTATTCTGTACCATATTTTGCTATCTTGCACCAACACAGAAAATTCCTATTATACTATATTGTAGCATAAAAAAAGATAAGTTTGGACAGTCGGATCCCCCTGTGTCTTTAGTCTCCAGGCAGCCCTAGAAAGACAAAGCTGAACGTCCTACGCCACACAAGCTCTGAAGCCCTAAAACGTCAGCCCTAAATACTAACGCCACAAAAATCAAAACCCCTCAAGGGCTACCTCACTCACTGCTCCTTTGGAGATGTGTCCAAGCTCAGCAGCGCTCAATCCCTAACACCCCAAAGCCCCGACTCCCTGAAGCCATGCACCCTAAAGCCCACAAGGGCTGAAGCCCTACCTAGACCCTGACGAACCCACCTTTTTAGGGTTCCCTATTCTGGTTTCCTTATATAAATCCATGAAAAGGTAGGTTATTTGGGGTTAAGGTAAACCCTAAAAGCCCGAAGGGCTGCAATCCGAAAAGAAAGCATCCCAACTCACGAAGCCCCAATGTCTGCCACGCTATTTGCCATGCTAAACACAAATGAATTGCTACAGAAACCCTTAGACACGGCTTGTGATTTTGGATTTAGGAGTTTACCCTACGGCTCCATGTGCCCATATAGTAGATACATAGGCGTTAAAGTACCTATATAGGGACCCCTTCGAAAGCCAAAGAACCTATATTATAAAGGTACATAGAGCCTTTGGGTTAGGGTTCCTTATGAACGCCCTGCAGAAAGCAAACAGTTTACGTAGCCCTAAACCCTTACTGCAGTCTTGGCCTTGGCTCTCCTTCCCTGAGCTCAGCACCGGGTCAGGTCCGGGCAGCACGCCCAAACTCCCCCAATCAGAAACTCCAAAATCAACCTTTTTCGTTATAGAATATTTATAGAGCTTATATAGAGTTGTAGAATCTTTGTAGAGCTTATAGAAGCTATCCTGGCCTCAGTGAGATGAGAGTTTCTCGGATCTTGGGTCCCTGGTGGGGACTGGGTGCAAAGGCTCCAAGAAGCGGGTGCTGGTAGATATTAGGGGTACCTTTAAAGGGATCCTTTAAAGGGATCTATAAGGGCTCTATAAAGGGTTTAGGGTTTAGAGTTTCCGAGAATGAGGGGTACCTTATTTCGGGGTCCTTATAATAAGGATCCTACTATTGAGGGTACTATATTGGGGTCCCCCATTTTTGGAAGCTCCATTATATACTTGTGCGCATGCGGATCCTGAATCTTAGAGTCCCTGTCGGTCATGAGGTTTCTACTGGAGTAAGTAAGTCGGAGCAGTCGCCAACGTTGAATACATGGCCTTACGAACTAAAGTCATACTTCTACTCCATTGAAGCCGACAGCCCAACTGCAGTCTCTCTGCCAGCTGCAAAATCCGATTGAGCCAGGACAGATGAAGGACAGCACCTGAGCAACCATGACGCTGAGTATTATCACTCTGCTCTTTCTCGTCCTCCTCCTCCTCCTCCTCCTTCTGATCCCTTGATTGACAGAACCATCAACGGCATCATCACCATCATCAAGCGCAGCTGGCTCAACCGATCAACATAACCGGCGCGGTCATCAACATCAACTCCTGCACACCGTAATCCTTCTCATCCTGCTGCTGGGCTTAGGATAACTGTAGGACATGCCAGTTCCTTGTGTTCAACCTGACGTGCTCATTCCTCGGCATCCAACCGGAGAACTCCAATAAGACATTGCGCACAGCAGAACTCAATCAATATCTCTCAAACACGAAACCCGGGATCAGTCGAAGCTTCGCAAGGAGGCTTGTTGATCCCCGTGCACATGATCCTGACTTTGACAATACGGAAAGGCAGCATGCCACAACTCAGACACCACGCCCCTGAACCCTAACCATCAAGCAAAAGCTAGACATGTTTTTCATGAAAAAACATGTCTAACCATCAAGCATAAGCAAGCACACTTACCCTTTTATCAAGCTGTGAGTGTTTCACAACTGCTTTGCAGCCGTCAACCCACTTTCAGGCAGACGGAGAGGGCGTCGGGCCGTCGGGTGGTACAGAAATCTATGCAATCCTTGTAGTAACCTTGCAGAAGCTCTTGTAGAGCCCGATAAAGCCTGTATACAGCCCTTAAGAGCAACCTCAAATTACGCGCTTAGAGAAGCAATCGATATCCACACTTCAAGAACTTTTGGGGAACATTTGGTTCGAAGACCCGGCGCCCTGTGGATGCGTTAACACTGAAGCCCCTGGCACGGGGCTGTGGGCAAAAAAGAGCCTTAGGGTTGATGGTGTAGGGTTTAAGTTTGAGGATAACGGGTGGCTAGAGAAAAAAGCAGATGTAGCTCAGGACTATATATGACATACCACTGGCATCTAGTGCGACCTGTGTTGGAATTATCACCTTGCTCTATGCTGTCAGTCACAGACTATTGTGAAGGGAGATATTCGAGGACATCTTGATATACGTAGTGGAGACATTTAAACAGCAGATAGGCTCGCCTAAGAATTCACAGTACGAAGCTAGGCGCTGAGCCCAGAAACTGAACGCTTTAAGGGTTTAAACCCCCGTACGCTACGTTTACAGTCTCTAGACTCTAGATCCTCGGAATCCTGGCCACTTGATCCAAAACCCTAAAACCGTAACCCCAAAAGCCACTTAAACCCTAAACCCTTAACCCAAAAGCCACCCAAACCTTAAACCCTAAACCCTTAACCCCAAAAAGCCACCCAAACCTTACACCCTGAACCCTTAACCCAAAAAGCCACCTAAGCCCTAAACCCTAAACCCCAAAAGCCACTTAAACCCAAAACCCCTGAACCCTTAACCCCAAATAGAAACCCGAAACCCTAACCCCGAAACCCCGAAAGCCACTTAAACCCTAAACCATTAACCCCAAAAGCCACTCAAACCCTAAAGGTTCCTTAAAGGGCTCCTGAAGGGGATCTATAGGGTTCCTTAAAGGGATCGAGAAGGGCAGGGCTTTAGGGGTTTAAGGTTTAGGGTTTGGGGGATTCGGGGAGTTTAGGGTTTAGGGGTTTAGGGGAGTTTAGGGTTTAGGGGTCTAGAGGAGTTTAGCGTTTAGGGGAGCTTAGGGGTTTAGGGGAGTTTAGGGTTTACGGGTTTAGGGGTTCAGGGGTTTGGAGTTCAGTAGGGTTCTCAGCACCTTGTCCGGTGTTATCGGTACCTTACCTTTAAACCCTACTCGCTAAGTCCCCTGTGTGAATAAGTCACACATTGCTTTAACTTAGCCCTTGCCGTGCTTCGCTTGCACCTCATCGTTCTTACCTGGCTGGCTCCGCAATCTCGGGCTGAATAAATAAATGCCAGTACTATTCTGAGAGTTCCTTATTATAGTTATAGTATAATGGGCCCCAAACTCTAACTATATGCTCCCATGGGGTTGCTGTTCCAGATGTTCTGTATCTCTGATTTCTCTCCTGCGGCTGTTTAGGACGTGAAGATATCTTTATCCATCTGAGCTTGTGGCAGGGGCCGTGTTGATGCGGGCATGTACTACCTCGAGGCTTGTACCCTACCCCTTTTTTCGGATACCTCTATATATAGTTTTATGGCTAGGATTTTTATATAGGAAAGTAGATCACCCGCCCTAAACAAAACAGTGTGCAGGTATGAGCCTACAGGTAGGGAGTGAGATCTCCCACTTAGAAGCCGTGACAAGGTCTCGGTCGAGAGGGCCGAAGGAGCTACACAAATTTGCGCCCTAAGGCTCCATGCACCCATATAGCTTATACTTAGGCCTTCAAGTACCTATATAGGGCCATGTACCCATATAGTTTATACTTAGGCCTTCAAGTACCTATATAGGGACCCCTTTAAGGCCCAAGTACCTGTTATAAAGGTACATGGAGCCTTTGGGTAGGTAGCTGGCAGGACCCTGCACAACGCGGCATGCCTAACTTCAGTGCTGCAGAAAGTAAGCAGCAACACAAGTACCCAAGATAGTCATGAAGCCCACGCAGCTGCTTTGATTAATGCAGGTTTAGGGTCTAGGGAAGAATCATGGTGGTCGCGTTTGCCGTAGGCCGTAGTCCCTCTCTCGACTCTTGTGCAACCTGTACCAGCTGGGTCATGCTTGCACTCTCTAGGAAAACCCTGAAAATCCCCTTAAATCCTAAAAGCCCTAAACCCGACAAGCTCCGAAACCCAAACCCTAGCCTTCAGCTCTGTGATCGCCAACTTCGAGGACGAGGATGAGGGAACAGGGCTTCGGATTAATGGCCGAGGGTTCCCGACTTGAAGGTTCATGGGTGGTTATAAGTAGGGTTAGAAGTAGGATAACTATACTTATAACCCATATTAGGGGACTTATAACCCTACTTATAACTTGCCATGAACCTCCAAGTATAGGGCTATGTATGAGATATTTTGTATAAATCCCAATTCGCCGGATGACCCAGGTTACGGCATGTCACGGGATATCGGCTTGTGGTGCACACCTCAACAATATCAACATTTATAAGCCCTAGACCCTAAACCCTACCCTGAGCGCCTAAACTCCTTGACTCAAGCCCACCTCTCGAGTAGCCATTCTCGATGGCCTGAATTCTGCAATCGCTACCGGTTTGCTTGTGAGCTGTTTCTTCACGGTTTAGGGTTTGGGCTTCAGGATTGGGTTTAGGGTTTGGACTTCAGGGATTAGTGCTGAGGTTGGTGGGCTTGACATCGATTTGCGCCATATTTGGCAGTCCCTCCCAGGCTTTTCGGCTTGTGACTGAGAGTAACGGTTTCGCCGGGTTTAGCGATTTAGGGTTCTGGCTTCGCAAAGCCGGCAAGTAAAGCTGCGGAGCTTTGCAAAACTTGTTATCCCAAACGTCCGTAACACTTTGCCGCGCAGAACTCTGTTCAGTCCTAAGCATTGAAATATCCTCTGCCGGGACCAGAGTCCGATCCTCTCCTAGGTAAGCACACGAAGAGTCTCAGAACAGCTGAACCCTCGGAACGTGATGCAGAGACTTACATAGCAGTGGAACTCCTGCAGGACCTGAGCCGGAACCCTCAACCCTAAACCTTAAACCCTCAACCCCAGAACCTTAAACCCTCAACCCTAAATCCAAAACCAACAACCCCAGAACCTAAACCTTGTCTGCATTTCGTCGGGAAGTCGAAAAAGGTTCAACTTCGAAGTTCCCTACCTACGGTATCAAAGGACTTCGCAAATAGGGTTGCTGTTGAAGGTTTAGGGTTTAGGACTTAGGGGTTTTAGGATTTAGGGGTTAGGGTTTAGGCTTACAAGCTGCACACAAACATGACAGCTGAGAGTGCACTTTTGGCCCAGATTAACCATGGTCATTTCTGATAACATATGAACGATGTAACCCTCTTTACCTTAGTCTCCCCTAAACCCTAAACCCCTAGACTCTAAACCCTACCCTAAAGCTTAAACCCCTAAACCCTAAACCCCAAAACTCCACATTTCAGCGCTCCACTGCCAACTGAGATCCCTGCTGGTTTGGCCACAGCAGCCTTGGCCCCAAGCGTGCTTCGGTTTAGGGTACCAACCCCTACAAGCTCCATGTATCCATACGGTTGATGATATAAATCCTGCATTACCCATAATAGGGAATATACCAGAATTCCAATAGTCTAGGGTCCTTAAGGTGATGCAGGATTTATATCATCAACAGTAGTATATACTTGGGCCTGGTAGCTATATAGTCACCCTGTAAGGCTTAAGTATCTGCTACAAAGGTACATGGAGCCTTAGGGTTTAGGGTACCAACTCTCCCAAAGGCTCCATGTACCTTCATAGTCGATGCTTAAGCCTTAAAGGGGGCTCCGGGCTTTAGGCCTTGGGGCTTTAGGGGTCTAGGCTTTGGGTTTAGGGTTTAGGGTTTAGGGTTTAGGGTTTAGGGGTCTAGGCTTTAGGGATGTTCAGTGTTTAGGGTTTTTGGGTTTCGGGTTTAGCGTCCTACCGGGTTTAAGGATGCTGAGAGCCCAAAGGCTCCATGTACCCATGCAGTATATACTTAGGCCTTAACTCTACTCCCCTTGGAAGGTAAGCAAAAAACTACTTTTTCGGAGACCCCTATAAAAGAAGACCGGAACCAAAAAAGGAACGAAGTAACAAAGTCTCCAAGAGCCTTGAGGTTAAAGTACCTCTATAGGGACCCTAAAACTCCAAGATCCGCCACCGCCAATGCTGATGGACAAAATCCTGCATTATCTTGAAAGCTTGGTCTGCTAGGGTCTTATTGGGCTTTCAGGGAGTTTTGCGAAGTTTGGGTGCGTAACCTCAGAAGGAAGATAACATGGTTCGAAAGTCTTCCAAGCAAACCCTAAAACAAAACAAAGAGCCCGATACTGTCCGCTACCCAAACCTTACTGTAAACTCCCTAAAGCTGGATTTAAAGTTTAGAGTATTGGGTTGAGAGTTTAGGGTTTACGCTGAAAGCCCCGAACCCTATAAACCGCAACCCGCCACCTTCAAAACAAACTACTTTCATGACGAAACAGCCAAAGCCTTCCCGGCAGAACGATTTTAAGGTTCCGGCTTGTCTGACCTGGCAGCAGGGACGGTTTTTTTTTTTAAAGTGTAGTGGCCCTTTCTCCGTACGCATACAGCAGGGACGGTTTAGGGCTCTGGGGTTTAGGGTGTAGCTGGTTTGGAATTCAGGGTTTGGGGTTCAAGGCTTAGGCTGCAAACTAAGGGGCAACTGGATTAGGCCTTTGAGCCTTTTAGAGTTTAGGGTTTAGGGTTTAGGGTTTTGGGGTTTAGGGTTTAGGGTTTAGGGGTTTAGGGGTTTAGGGTTTAGGGTTTAGGGTGTGCTTGTCTGCAAACCCTCAAAGGCAGCATCTGAACGAGCGCGGGACGGCAAAACAAAAAGCGAGGTCTGGATCTGGAGGAACTGCCGAAACCCAAACACAAGCCTTACCTTTCAGAGCCCCTTCATTTTAGGGTTTAGGCATTTGGGTTTGGTTTTATTTTCGAGAGGCTGAACTTGCCTTCAATGCCGAACCCGCCAGCAGATCCCAAGCCATGCAACCCTGGATCTCTGATACCCCAAGCCCCAGACCGCGACTGCTAAAGTCTTCATCTGATATTCATACATATAAAAGGCTATTGTTCTAGATACATACGTTTTGTGAGCAGGTGGGGTTTAGGTCGCTTGGTCGATGATGTTGGGTCATTGTGTTATCTACTTCTGGGGGTTTACCCAAAGGCTCCATGTACCTTTATAGTAGATACTTAGGCCTTAAAGTAAGGTAGCTATATAGGGACCCCTTTGAGGCTTAAGTAGGTACATGGAGCCTTTGGATTACTTGGAGGTTCATGGCTAGTTACAAGTAGAGTTATAAGTAGGATAACTATACTTATCACCCATAATAGGGGACTTATAAACCTACTTATAGCTATCCATGAGCCTCCAAGTACTTCAGAGCCAAGAGCCCGGCCTTCTCAAGGAGGTAGTTCTGGGTTTCCAGCGGCACGCAGGGATCAGACGCCTCCAGTTGAATCCCAAAGGCTCCATGTACCTTTATAGTAAATACTTAAACCTTAAAGGGGACCCTATATAGGTACTTTAAGGCCGAAGTATATATTATATGGGTACATGGAGCCTTAGGGAACTAGGGGGGGTGGATTCTAAGGAAGCTGGGCTTCGATTTAATATCGGAGCCTCAATAACTGGACGAGAGTTTCCTGGGCCATTATACCATGCTTAACAATTGTAAGGAATCCGAAGGGATCGTGCTAGCAATTATTTGGGCCCCCATTTTACAGGAGTCGCGGACGAAAACTATTTGCAATACTGCAGGCCTGGTGCCAGAAACCCCTAAGCTCATAAGGACCCTTAGGAGGGGGGTAGGGGGCCTTCATACCTATAATAAGGACTTCATAAGGCCTATTCAAGAAAGTATAGTCCCCACCCCCTCCCCCTACCCCCATAAGGGTCCCTATGGTAACCCGTACGAGCTTGCCGAGCTCGTACTCATCAGCCTCTCCGGGTGTGTGTTGACCGCAGAAAACAGTGTAGGGTTTGTATATTTGAAATTACTGGAATTACCATCATGAACTATGATTTGGGGAAGTATCCCCCCTGACAGTACCCAGGACCCTTTGGGTGAAGAAACAAACTCAAACCAAACAACTGTCCATGGGCTTCGGGGTACATGGGACTGCAGAGGAAGTTGTTGATCAAGACAAACTTCTCACCACGTCATCGCGAACCCAACCTCCGAAGTCTATACTACGGCTGATGGACAAAATCCTGCATTACCCATTATAAGGAATATACCATAGTTCCCATAGTTTAGAGTCCTTAGGGTCATGCAGGATTTTGTCCATCAACAGTAACAGGGCCTTAATAATTAGAATTGGGTTTCGCGGTATGTCATATTATCATGATAATAAGGAGCCCCCAAAAACAGTACAGGTAAGTATTTAGGCCCCTATAGTAAATCCTAAACCCTAAAACCCTAAGCCCTAAAACCCTAAACCCCTAAAACCCTGAACCCTAGAACCCTAGAATCCTGAACCCGAAGCCCATCTGGGACGGCATTTACAGCGCTTCAAAAAAAACGAGAACCACTCTGCCACAAAACCCTGGACCTGGACGGTAAGCCCTACCTGGACCCTGAAGAACCTACCTTTTTAGGGCTCCGCATTGTGATTTCTTTATATAAGCCCATAAAAAAGGTAGGTTATTGGGGTCCAGGTAATCTCTGAAACCCTCAGCCATCATACCCCTTCATCCTAAGCCCGGTTTTGCAAGTCCTAGAAACCCTCAGGCATAACCAACCCTCAATCTGGAAACTCTCTAAACCCTAAACCGTCTAAACTATACCCTAAGACTAAACCCTAAACATTCTAAACTATACCGTGGTACTAAATGCTAAACCCCCTAAACTGTGCCCTAAACCCTAAACAGCTATACCCTAAACCTTTCAAACCTCTCCTCGGCAGGGAAATGCCACGGTGTCTGCCCATAAGCTCGGAGCACCTCCAAGGCTGTATGGGTTTAGGGTTTAGGGGGTTAGGGTTTAGGGCTTAGGGCTTGAAGGTTTCGGGTTAAGGAGTTTAGAGGTTAGGACGAAGGAAGGTTTAGGGATTTAGGGCTTGATTGTGTGTTCAGGAAAATTGGGTAAAATGCGACCCACATTCCTGATTGCTTCACTACTGTTCTCAACCTCAACCCAAAGCAGCCAACTGATGGATGCTAATTTGTACTTCGCACCCGTGCGAATTAAGGCCATATGATTGTTACAAGTGGCCCTAAAACCCAAACCATGCACCCCACACGCTATACACCTACTTCAACCTCAAACCTAAATTCCAGGCGTTGCACCGAGATCAGCGTCCCGTCTCGCGCCCAGATTTTCGCCATGCCGTCGAAGCCTTTGGGGCTTAAGGTTTAGGATCCAGGGCTTTGGCTGCCTTCTGGATTTAAGACTTCGGGGAGGGACTGAACCCTGAGCTAAGGCTCAAAATAGCCCAAAAGCCTCATGTAGTATGGTCTTTGGGCCCAAAAGCCTTAATACACGAGTCCATAGAGCCTTAGGGTAAACCTAGGCTTAGAGACTCAGGACTTTGGGTTTAGGACCTTGGCGCTGGAGGATTGAGCTCGGTTTTGTAAACAGAACTATAAGCGGTGGACGGCTGTCCGCTCGGCTTCCCTAAAACCTACCTGAACCCGGAAGAAAACTTGCTTTGTCAAGGACATATATAAGGAGATAATAGGTAACCTCAATCAGGAAGGTTTTCTAGGGTCCAGGTAAGCCCTAAACCGTCAACTTGCAGCCTCAACCTAAACCCCTAAACCCTAAACCGCAGAAACCCTAAATCCCAAACCCCTATACAGATCGCAGACGAGTGCGATGTTTAAACACCGGCCACGAAGCCCTGAAATCTTAGGGCAGCGACGTCAACCCTGCAAAACAAAGCCCAAACTGCAACCCTAAACCTGCAATCCGGAATCCTTATCCATTAGAAGCTGCCCCCACCCTGTAATAGTGACTGAAAGGATTATATTAGGGCCCCATTATATTCCTATTATACCTCTATTACAGGGTGGGGGCAGCTTCTAACTTATCCACAAAGCCTGAACTAACTCTCATCCGAATGGTCAGTCCTACCTCAAAACAGCAGGCCAGCGAGGAAGCAGCAAGGGTTCGCATGATGTTGATTGGTGGGATTAGGATTTAGGGATTTTGGGACGATGGTGGTAATAATGATGATCGTGTTTGTGATGATGTTGATGCTGATAGCGGTGACGAAACTAGTCTCAGTGACGATGATGATGATGATGTTGATTGACGTCACGATAACGGTGCGCATTACGTTCTGCTTCCTTTGTTTGCAAGCAATTACGTCGAACCCTACGACCCTCCTAAAAGGCACAGACTGGACCTAATTGAAGCTTGCTCTCTACACAGCTTTAGCAGTGCCAACAGAACTGCAATCGCGATTGGGGAAAGTTGTTCGACCAGTGTCCGATCCTTTCCCTGCCTAGTTACTCGGCGTTCTCGAGGTTGCCTAAATCCAAAACACCATCAGCCCTAGACGCAGCAATCCTTGACCCTACACCCGAAGCCCTAAAATGCTTAATCATAAGGATTTTACACGCCTTTGCAAGCGTTGTATGGGGCTTTATCAGGTTGTCCAAATTCCACATCTCTAGTACCCTGGGCGAAAAATTCCCTCGAGCCCCCAGCCCAAACTCCTTAAGCCGCGAACCCAAACTCACGACAGTCCCAATGAAGAATAATGAAGGCCTGAAACCTCGAAGCCCTGAACCCCCAAATCGCTCAACCCCCAAAATCCCTACGATGCTATAGCCCAAAACTTCAACTTCAAAACAAAAACAAGACAAATGGCCTGCTCCCTTAACCCGAGAACCCCGAAGGCCAAAGCGAACTCAAAGCTCCCCTATAAGCCCTTTGCCTGCTGTCACCAAGCAAGGTGGGTTGCTGTACACCTGCACAATTCAGCATGCGGGGCCTTCTGATATAAAAATGACTGTTGGGGATTTTCGGATGAAGGCTGTGCTCCGGACCACTGCGTGGAGTTCCTTGTCGCAAAACATCTGTCAGGGAGCCTGTTCTCTGGTCAAGACCCAAGAATCGACAAGTGTTGTTGGGCTCCGCTGCAATAGTAGGGAACTGCATGCATATATATATATATATATGTATATATGTTTTGGAAGGTTGTTGCAGCGAGTCCACAATGCTCCACCGGAGCGAAGTCGTCTTGGCTGCAAGCAGCCGGGTCCCAAAATTCGAAGAAGTATCCGTAGACTGGCCCAAACTCCGAAGACCCCTGAAACCCTAAACCCTTAAACCCTAAACCCTTAGACCCTAAACCCTTACACCCTAAACCCTTAAACCCTAAACCCTTAAACCCTAAACCCTTAAACCCTGAAACCCTTAAACCTGCTCAACGCCGCGCCAACAAATATTGCATTTTGGGAGGCCAAGACCCCACGAGCCTTCAGGCTGCGAAGGCTGTCAGTGTGTGCTTTCCTGGCACTTTGGGCTTCCAGCCAAAGGGGCCAGGTCTTCTGTTACTGTCTTGTTCGTATCGTTGCTGCTATATACTACTGTTGTAATTTTTGCTACCATACTGTATCAATATGTATTGCTTGTTAATATTACTATTGTCAGCACTACGATGATTCTTCTCGATTTAACCTGTTCTTGATATGATATCTTTGTTAAGAGTATTTCGATTATCATTGTTGGCGTTGTTATGACTGGTTGTGTTGGGCATATCTTTGTCTCTCTGCGCGCCACGTGTGTGCATTCTACGTTCTTAGCATGTTTCCTTCGGCATTCTGCCATAATTTATGGGGCTGTGTTTTGCTCTCCTTGGTTGTAACTACTAGGTGCCCCAGTGCCACCTTGATAATATGGGCAACCTCACGTTGTCTTCGATTTTCATAAGGGAACCGATAAAGCAAAAGGGGTGCAAAAGTGTACTACTGGGGAGCATAGGCTAGTAGGGACCCTTGCGGGGGTTAAGAGGGAGGGGGATAGGGGGGCCATAATAGCCCAACTAAGGATTCGACAAGGGTCTAAACCCTACCCCCCTCCCCCTGACACCCCTACGGGAAATCCCGAAAGGGTCCCTATGATGGGCCATCTCCCAAGCTCCACTCAAGGGCAAGAGGAGGGACCCTTAATAAGGACCCCTAGGTATATACCCTTAATATAGCTATTATATCGCCCATTGTATAGCCCATTATAGGGTAGGGGTCCCCATTAAGGGTCCCTCCTGATCCCCAAAACCCTAAACCCTTATAGATCCCTTCAAAGGAACAATCAGAGCCCTAAACTAAGGGTCCCTCCTCTTCCCCTTTGATCCATGTTCAGGCACCAATCAGGCCAAAGTTGCCATGAGAGGCCCTGCCGCACCAATGGCTGATCCTCCAGCTTAGGGCTTCCTCTAGGTGCCTAAATAGACACTAATACTAGTTTGGTGGCTCCTTTTTTAAAAAACAAACTTTTTTTTTTGGGGGGGGGTCCTTATTATATTTATAAGTATAGTGGTCCCCCAAGCCCAATTCTAATTATTAAGGTTCCCAGATTGGGGTTTTCAGGACAACCAAAGAGCTTCTAGAGACTCCAGCGAATTAAGGTTGCAGAGCACTACGATTTGTTTGAAAGGCTTCAAACTTTTATGGTTAATACAATAACCGCCTTGATCAAACAAGAAAGAATTGTGGGTGAGGGGTGGGGGCGTATGTATGCCTTCTTTTATAACTCACTGTAACTATAGCATTCGTAATTTTGCAGGCTCCATGCGACCATCAGAGCACCAAACAACAAATACATGACAAGCACAATGAATCATTAATAATGGCCCGGTGCCAACTGGACCATCGATGGGCGAGCTGTGTGCGCGGGGTGGACGGGGAAGTCATGCCATAAAGCGCAAAGCTCAAAGTTGCCTTCATACTTGATTCGAGCTTTCTGGCCTTCATTGACTTTAGGCAGGCGAAACTGCGATGTGTGTCTTCTATCCAGATGAGAAAGCAGCAAGGCTGCAGAATCTAACGCTTCAAAACGTTTGATGACGAGCTAAACGACGTGCAACCCAACTGGTCTTGCATAGCCCCTAGGCCAAAGAAGGGACACCCACCATTACGACAAAAAATCGCTGAACACCAGGTCAATCTTCAGGCATGTCACATGCACTCTGAATTTCAAGCCTTACCCTTACGCTCCTCCAAGCTCGTACGGTTGTATCTGGGTCCACAAGCCGTCCATGTAGGGTTAGGAATCCCAGCTCTACTCTGTTGACGGACCACTAAACCCTTAGATTGAAAGTACTAAGTATCCGAATCCAAAGTGTCGTTCATGCACCTGTGTCGGCCCGCGACAGTATGATGGGAGGCCAAAGCGGGGGTTTAAGATTCTGCGGGTAGGGATTCCTAAAATGTTGAACTCTATTATGGGAACCCTAATGCCTGCTAATCAAACTCCCATAGGCTAAAAACCCCTTGTGGCCTCCTACGACAGTAAGGCCCCGGCCATCATGGCAGGTAGCTCCGGCACTTCAAGCGACGCGGCATTGCGCGCCACCGTCTGGGCGATCCAGGATTTACATGGTGCCCTTATACCATATTTATAATAAGGAACCCCACACTAGTACAGGCATAGGTAATTATTTAGGCCCCTATATTATGCTGGCTTCTTTGCCATCGAAGAATCTTGTATAAAAAGGAGCTCCCTGATACGACAGCCTGCTAAAGGATATTGCGATCCCTGAAGACCCTGATACAGCTGATGCAGGGGTCACTCGGGTATGTTTGGGTTCATCGGGTTTGGTAAGCGCCCGAGGGCCTTTGAAGCTACAAAGATTTGGCGGGGGTTTCTTGGACTCCAACTGTTCAGGATCCCATAGCCATAGGAACTGGCCAAAATCAACCGCAAAAGAACTCTACCAAACCCTAAACCCCTAAACCCTAAACCCCTAAACCCTAAACCCCTAAACCCTAAACCCTAAACCCCTAAACCCTAAACCCTAAACCCTAAACTCTACCAAACCCTAAACAACATACGACTATAGAACTTTCGCCTTGCCAGTCCCTATACTAATGCGCTGAAGCAAGGAACAAGGGAATCAGGTATCTCTCTTCAACAACCGGACCCCAAAAAGTTCAAACTTTCTAAGATAGAGCTAACATATAAGGCCAAAGAGCTAGTATATAAGGCCAAAGCCACAAAGTTTAAAGTTCCCCCGTTCACTATCTAAGGTATTAAGGGTTCTGGCAAAAGCACCCCCAGCCCCTTCAAGTATGAGCCGAAACCCTAAAGCGCTAAAACCCCTAAAACCCTAAAACCGCTAAAACCCCTAAACCCCAAACCCGAAAGCCTATAAACCGTAAATCCCAAAACCCCTAAAGCCCGAAACCCCAAACCCTAAACCTTAAACCCTTAAATCCCTAAAGCCCTATAGCCCTCATAGATCCCTTTAAGGAACCCTATAGATCCCCTTAAGGAGCCCTTTAAGGAACCCTAAACCCCTAAAGCCATAAAGCCCTGTAGCCCTTATAGATCCCTTTAAGGAACCCTATAGATCCCCTGAAGGAGCCCTTTAAGGAACCCTAAACCCCTAAATCCCAAAGCCCCAAACCCGAAACCCTAAACCCTGTAGATCCCTTATAGGATCCCTTACAGGAACCTTATAAATCCCAAAACCCTAAAATCCCTAAAACCCCAAACCCAAAACCCTATAATCACTAAACCCTATAATCCCTAAACCTTAAAATCCTAAACCTTAAACCCTAAATCCCACACCCCTGAAACCCCTAAAACCCGAAACCCTATAGATCCCTTATAGGATCCTTTAAAGGAGCCCTAAATCCTAAACCCCAACCCCTAAAACCCTGCCAAGTCCGTCTTGGCTTTGATATTCCCGGAGAGTCTCTTGCCAAGCTTGGCAAGTGCCGTGGCTTTGGCCTGAGCCGCTTGCTCGGCCGTTCGATCTGCCTCCGTAGTCAGAGGGTCTTTCCAGAGGTCTGAAGTAGACCTGGCGGAGATCGCCTGAAGCGCGGCGACGAGCGGAGCCGGATAGCCAAACTGCAACTGGTCTACCGGCGAGGTCTTGTTGCTGTTGCCTCGTTGCTTCCCGTTGGCCTCGGAAGCTTGCGCCTTCGGCTGGTTCCGGGCCGGAGGCATGGAGCCGTGGTGCACTCGAAGAAGATGCAGCGGAGATGTAGAGGCTCTGCCTTGCCGCGCGAAAAGGCGGGCTTTGCTGCGCCTTTTCCGTAGGCGCCGGTGCCAAGGAGGGCTTCCACAAGCAAGTGGGCCAGTGGGGCCGCGCTGGCCGCCACACACGCTCACACGCGGAGCTGGGGTCTGGAATATTGCAACGAGACCCTACTTCAAGGAAGACAGGGGCCGGCCGAAATGCAACTGAGCCGAGACGCCTCAATGCCGAGACCCTGAATCCTACACCCCTAAAACCCCTGAAACCCCAAACCCGAAAGCCTAAACCCTAAACCCCTAAAACCCTAAAGCCCTATAGCCCTCATCGATTCCTTTAAGGAACCCTATTGAACCCCTTAAGGAGCCCTTAAAGGAACGTTAAATCCCCAAACCCCAAACCCTGAAACCCCAAACCCGACCCCTAAACCCTATATAGATCCCTTATAGGATCCCTAAATGGAACCCTAAATCCCAAAACCCTTAAAATCCCCAAACCCGAAACCCCTAAAGCCCTGTAGCCCTCGTAGATCCCTTTAAGGAACCCTATAGATCCCCTTAAAAGGGACCCTAAAATCCCCCAAGAAACCCCCTAAAACCCCTAAAACCCTCACCGAGAGGACAGCCTCGGACGTATGGGAGGCGTCGTTTTCCACACGCTTGTAGGGATCCCAGTCTGCCTCGGTCCATTTCGGGGGGAATCTGGGGGGTTTAAGGGTTCCTTTAAGGGTTCCTCTAAGGGTTCCTCTAAGGGACTACAAGGGCTTGGGGTTGAGGGGTTTAGGGTTTAGGGTTTTAAGGTTTAGGGTTTTTTTTTTTAAATGCAGTGGGCCTTTTCTCCTGCTAACCCTGCCTTTTGACAGGTTTAGGGGTTTAGGGTTTAGGGTCTTAGGGATTTAGGGTTTTAGAGTTTTGGGTTATATCAGGGTTTAGGGATTTAGGGTCTCTTTCTTACCTAGAGGTTCATAGCCTACCCTTGTTTCAGGGGTACCTAGTTTTTCGGTTAGCACCTGTTCTATAGAAGGTAGGTATGGTGAAGAAGGGGTACGCTAGAGTTCATAGGGCCAAGGGTTCAGGATTCAAGGCTCAGCAGAGTGCATAAGGGCAAAGGTTTAGGGCTTCACGGTTTGGATTCTGGGTTTAGGGTTTCGTCTGTAACGGTTCGGATGTAGTAGGGCACAGGGTTGAGGATTGAAGGCTTAGGGTTTTCTTCAGGGTGAAGGTTTTTGGGTGTAGGGTTTTCTGGGTTTAGCATCAGAAGCTACCTAGACGCTCCATAGCAGTTCCCTTTCTGTGGTTCGTATTTAGAGTTCTTTAAGGTAATCACAAAAAGGAACTACCGTGGAGCCTATGGGTAGGGCTTATCGCGTGCTTCCAGGGTTTCGGGCTTTGGATTCAGAGGTTGCAGGAGGCGTCCGGCTGGGACAAAGCCGGACGGCTCAACTCCTGAAAAAAATATCACTAAACCCCTAAAGCTTCAACCGACCCCGAGATCCGACCCCGAGGCCCTAAGCCGCAAACCTAAAGATGCGAAGCCCGAAACCTTAAACCCCTCAACCTGAATTAGCTTCGGGCCTTTCGAAAAGCTGCGAAACCCTAAACCTAAAGGCAGGGTTGGGGGCGTTTAGGGTCTAGGGCGCCAAGCGAACCCTAAACCCGAGACCCAAAAAAACCCAAAAACCCTAAATCATGAACCTCAAGTTGCGTACTATAGAGGCATATCGTACACTTATGATCCCTTATAGAAACTCTTATAGACCCCTTTAAAGGAACCCTTTACCCCTAAATCCAAAACCCACAAGTTGCTTAAACCCCGTGCCATTTGGCTTCGTGGCTTCCGGGATCGGCGGCGTCGGCTGCAGGCCGGCTGTGGAAAGCAAGGCAGACCTTACTGCAGGGTTTAGGCTTTTACGGGCCCAGACCTTCCAAAATCGCTTCACGAAGTAGTGTACCCTAAATGATATTAAGGATCCTTTTATAAATTAAGGTATATTCCGTAATTAAGGGATTTTGGAAGGTCTGGGGGGTTTATAGGATTATAGGGTTACGGTTTACGGGTATAGGATCATAGCGTTTAGTTCGGCACAGAGCTCTGGCAGTTGGCTCATGGAGTGTGAATACTGTTGCGATCTTGGGGGTAAGTTGCGGTTCAGGTCCGCGGTTCTGCAGAATGAAGGACATGACGGAACGACTGCATGTATGTCATGTGTGTCCGTATGTACGTATGTATGCATGCATAAATGTGCTGAGTCGAGCATGCTGTCCCTGATTGAATATATCTTAAAGGCAATTGTCACTCTGCGCATGGTGTTGTTGTCAAGAAAGGTTCATCTACTCGCCTACAATCCTCAGACCAGCAATGTCGCCCTGGTGTAGGCTAGGGGCCGTATAAAGTCAAGAACTCGATTTCCAGCTTAAGACTTATTTGGGGCTCAAGGTTTGGCCAAAGCGCACAGTGTTTTGGGTTCATGATTGCATCTGTACGTCTCACGCGAGAACAATAGGGTTTTGGGGTATATTATACTTCACATATAATGTGATAAGGAACACCCCAAATAGTATAGGTAATTATTGAGGCTACAGTTTGCATCGTTACCACCCGAGTCTGGGGACCATACTGGAAACAAACAACAGCACAACACCAAAGCCATTGACAATCCCCAAACCCGAAATCCTTACAGATCCTAGCCTTGCGAAGGAAACCTCACCAAGGAACCCTTAACCCATCCCTACTCTACATTGATATACCTTTTTGGGCTATCCGAACAAACAATTGGCATTACAGATCATGATCATGTTGCTATTGTCTTCGTAGTATCACCATGAGGATGACTATCCTTACCATTACTATGATGGTTACTTACTTATCTATGTATATGATTAAAGCCATTGCTATTCCCAAAAGGTCCAAGAAGACACTGCCGTTGTGGAATTAGGTCCGCAAAACCATAATAGGGATGGTCTTTTGGTACCTAATTCTATAATGGTAGTGTGTACGGACGGTCCGGGATTCTTGTTTATTTCAGTTACCATTAGGCTCATCATCAGCCGTGACCCCGGCAGGTCCCAAGTTCGGACCTCTCCATCCTGAGTCCAGGATACAAAGACGGAATGAGGTAGGGGCTGTAATTAGAATAGGGTTCCTTTGAGGGTTCCTTTGAGGGTTCCTTTAAAGGGTTACGATAAGGGTTTAGCACAGGGACCTTAGTATTTAGAATAGGGATCCCGTAAAGGGGTTTATGAGGGTTACTATGAGGGATCTATAAAGGATCAGATTTCGGGCGAGGCGGAAGCACCAAAGGAAGTTTAGGGTTGAGGGTTTGTTAGGGTTTAGGATGGTGGGTTTAGGATGGTCTAGCTTAGGGTATGGGGAAGCCTGGTGAAGGTTTTAGGGATTTTGAGGAAAAGAGAGACGAAGAGAGTCTTGGGAGCAAAGACCTAAGACGGTTGTGGGGTGAGGGATTGTTGGGTGCACGGCTAGTAGTGTAGAGCTTCGGGTTTAGTAAGGATATAGTTCGAGAAGTTGCACGCACATGCGTATATTCGGCTCTTCTTCATCTACCGCAGTTTTCCTGGTAGCATCTGCCCGCAGGTGCAGTTTGCAGATATGGTTATGAACGAACCCATCTAGGGTCTAGCCCCGGATCTTAAATAGTGCAAGTTACCAGGCTTCGGACGTACAGTTGGTCATGAGCTTTCCTAGTTATGCTATCTTGAATTGGGACTTTCCCAAAATAGGGGATCCTAATATAGTATATACCCTAAACAGCAGGGTCCTTATACTAAAAGGACCCCAGAATGAGGTACCCCTAATTTCCGGAAACTCCCAATTCAGTGCCTTGCCGAAAACCCATGATATGGCGCCGGACATCCCTAAGCCGCATCAATCATAGAGCGTGGAGGCCCCAAAATCTCAGCCCCAACTCCGTATCTAGTGAAATACAAAAACGAATAATGAAACCCTACGATACCAGAAAGTAAACCCCTTGCGAAATATAAACCCTAAACAAGCTTTTGCATCATCAACACAAGGAAGGTCTGTGTGTGCCTGTGCGCGAGTGATTGCTTTGTTGGTCGGTTGGTCCGTCGGTCGGTTGGTTGGGAGGTTGGGTGGTTGGGGGGGGCGAGTCGAGCGGGTGGGTGGGTGAGCGAGCGAGAGCGTGAGTGAGTGAGCGAGTGAGTGACTGAGTGACTGAGTGACCGTGAGTGAGTGCGCGTGAGTGCGCACACGTGTGCGGACGCACATGCACGTAATACGGTTTGAGCTGTAGGAATGACAGACTGGCCCGACGGCTGCAAACAACAGTACACCCTGCACCCGAAACGGATGTCCTCGTCGCCGGTATACAGGACCAGCGTCCGGTTGTCTGAATCTGCCTGCACTGTGACTTCGGGAACCAAATCTCCTTCAAAACTCAACCTGAAGCCGCAAACCCCTAAGACCTCGAATCTAGGCTGACCTGGCAGAGGTTGTCCTGTTTCAGATCTCTGGACACATACATAAACCATGCAATATGTAGCATGCAGTTCTTGCTATTTGCTGACACGGTTTCCAACGAAAACACTGCGGTGCTCATCCACAAAGAACTGAAGCCAATCCTGTCACCCTAAACCCTGCAGTAAACCCCATAAAGTTGGAAACTGGATTAAGGCCAAAAAATGATAGGATTCCCTAGACATTACTCCTAGGCATGGAGGCTCTGGGGTTTCTAACTTTTGGGTTTCTATACTCTAAATCCTGAACGAAATGCACACCAGAATCGATCCGCCGTGCAGCCGGCTGGCGGGTTCAGGGAACACTATAGACGAACATCTCGAATCCCTCAGCCCTACTCCCGATTCTATCCCCAAGCCCTCATCCCTGAACCACAAATCGCGATATGTTTTGGGGAGTTTCCGAAAATTAGGGGTACAATATTTTGGTGTCCTTATAATACGGACCCTACTATTTAGGGTACTTTTTCACGGTCCCCTTTTTTTCGGAAACCCTCGTTTCAGTCATCTTAGCATCCTCACCTCGGCCCAGAAGTCGAGGCAGTTCACCGACGCAGAGCTCTCAAGGGACTGCATGTTGATGAAGCGCGTCCTGAAAAGGATGTTACTTGGAGGTTCATGGGTAGCTAGAAGTAGGGTTAAAAGTCCCAATAATATGGGTAATATGGGTTATAAGTACATTTATACTACTTATAACCCTACGTATAACTTCCCATGAACCTCTCAGTAAGGGTTTAGGGATTAGGGTTGAGGGGAGTATACAGCTGGGCTTTATAGGGCTTGGGAAACATGGTTTATGGCTTAGGTTGTCGGCTTCAAGTTTCAGGGTTGAGGGAGCGGTTCAAACCACATTCTGATTACGACTCCGACTATGGATTGCACTTTGTTGCGCGGGGCAGGGGAATTTTGAGTACAACGCTTGCTTAATCAGTTTCCTCTGTGGAGCACAGGAGTAGAAGACGACCAGATTCAGGACTATGTTTCGGGGTTTAGCGTTTAGGCATAATCAGCTAGCGGCGGGGTTCTTTGTCGTTCACGTGATTCTTGCACCTTCGTGAGGACAGTGATGTTCCACATTTCTATATCTGACTTCTGCTGAGACGTTAAGCCGTAGGAGAGGACGGGGTGGGGTTTCAATACCCTCAAGCGTAGGGCTTAGGAGTTATGGCTTTTAGGGTCTAGGGTTTAGGGGGTATCAATACAAGGGATAAGGACGCTATGCTGCAATGGTCGTGCATTGTTAACCTAGGGGCAGCGGGCGGGGGGCCGGGGCTCGGAAAGGGCTTGGGACAATTAAGACAAGAAGGCAGCTTTCGTTTTGGGTCTGTGCAGTGGAGTGTCAAGGCTTGATTTCTTTTAACATTATACAGGCCTCGTGTCAATGCCATGAATATCTAGGCCCTAGGCTTTTTTAGGCGCATCACCTGGGACCCCCTCAACCGAGCGCCTAGGGTGCTAGGCCAGAAGCAATGCTTGAGCTGATCCGCTGAGGCCCACATACCAATAGCGCGCAGTGCAAAGCTTTGGTTCTTGCAGTCTTCCAGCTGATGCTGACATGTTTGCCATTTTGTCTAGGTGGGAGTATCCGACAAAAAAGGGACCCCAACATAATATACCTTAAATCCAGGATCCTTATTATAAGGACTCCAAAACAAGGGACCTCAAATTTTCGGAAACTCTAGACCCTAAACCCTTTACAGAACCCTTATAGATCCCTTTAAAGGAACCCCTAATTTTCGGAACCTCCCATTTTGTCTTTCGTGGGTTCGGAGATGGGAGCTTCAGAGTTCGGGCTTTTGGTCCCCTATTACAGAGCCCCATGGTACCCTTTAAAGGAACCCCTCATGGGCTTCGGAGTTATAGAGCCCCATAGTACCCTTAAGGGAACCCCCTTTATGGGCTTCGGAGTTATAGAGCCCCATAGTACCCTTAAAGGGAACCCCCTTATGGGCTTCGGAGTTATAGAGCCCCATAGTACCCTTAAAGGGAACCCCCTTAGGGGCTTCGGAGTAGTGCCAGGTAGGATTGAGAGATGGGGGCTTCAGTGTTCGGGGGTTTTGGTCTGCAAAACTTGATGATTTAACTTGAGAATTTCTGACTGAGGGTGGAAACCTTCCTCCTAATATAGGGGCCTAGATATTTACCAATACTATTTCAGGGTTCCTTTGAGGGTTCCTTTTTAAAGGGGCCAATAAGGGTTACTATAAGGGGTTACGATAGTTGTTTTTGTTCAGGGTTGCTTGGCAGAAGTATAGTAGAATGGGCCCCAAAACCCTTATTATTCTAATTATTAAGGCCCCTATATTACAACTCGTGAGAACGGCAAGTCCCTCAGCCCAACGTGATACAGATCCTGACACATTCCATCCCGGAATGCTGTACAGTAAACTCCATAAAGTTGGAAACCGGATTAAGGCCAAATAGTGCTGGGATTCCCTATATTTTACTCTTAAGGATCGAGGCTATGGGGTTTCCAACTTTAGGGCGTCTTCTGTAATATACAGGCCCCTTGTAATCCATTCACTTCCCTTCCGTCAAAGCCTAAATATACCTGGCACTGACGCGAGGCCTGTATCATGTTAAACAAACCTTGACCCTTCCAATGCTGTCTGAGTCGCAAGACTTTGTTGACGAACCTGATAAAGTGGACATTCTTTGCTACCGGTTGCTGTTTGGTCGCAGCACCAGTCGCCATCGTGGCGGCCGTCGTCTTGCACTTATGAATAGGGCTGTCCCCTGCATGCTACGGAGGGTTGGGAGACTTCCCGAAACTGCATATCTCTAGTTGCAAGCAGCAATTGCAGGGGGAGTTGCCTACATTTAGCCTAGAGGCCAACATTATACCCTCCCGATGTGGGTGGGATCAAGTACCACTACGACACAGCGCCTGCCGGCTGTGGTCCGTTTGCTGAAGACCCCTACCCTACGGTTTCAAGTAAGTGCAGCAAAGTGAGTGGAGCATGAGCTGACTCCGTCATAAGGTAGCAAAAACCTTTGTTATAGGTTCTGCCCCCACTTGCAGGGCTAACCGCTGTCACCCCGGATCCTGAAACAACATGCGATCGTCATCATCGTGCTAATAAACCCTACAATGCGAATATCCGGAACGCCATGAGCAGAGGAGGGCGCCACTCCTGTTTGAACAGCTGAAGCCATTGCTTGTACTGAGGGTGGAGCTTATGGTCTTTGCCAGAAAGGGATGGAACTGCCCAGACCTCCCAAAGGCAGGAACGATTGTTGCTGGGCTCTCGTTTGCTCCGTCAGGTTCGAAGCCTAGAAACCCTTCAAGTCCCAAACCCTTCGTGAGCTTGGATCTGTGTCTTCTAAACCCAAAGGGTCCTAAGTACCTATATTGTAGAATGTAGGGTTTCCACAACAGGAAAGGAACTATTACTATTATGGCTTGGGCAAATGCCCCCATATGGGTAGTTGTCAAAATTATGGTCCCTCTTTGGGTCCCTAATATAATACGGCACCTATTATTTAGGGTACCCAAAAAGGTACCCTAATCTGGACAACCACCCATATAGGTACTAAGGACCCTTTGGGATACGTTACGCAGAGGTCAGGGGAGGCCAGTGCCAGGAGTCACGTCGGACGTAGGGTTGCTTTAAATCGGGGGCCTACCCAAAGGCCCAAAAGTAGTTCCTTTTTGGGGTTCATATTTAGAATCCTCTAAGGTACTCCCAAAAAGGAACTACTTTGGGGCCTGTGGGTAGACAGATTGAAGACGGCCTTGGGCTGAAACTATCAAGGTCACGGAAAAAGAATCGATACTTGACCTCACTTAGGAGTTTAAGTTTGGGTTTCTCCGTGAGGTTTATCGCTTGTGGATCTGAGATTTCAGCAATGATGGACTTCTGTCCCAAACCAGGCCCTACCCACACTTTATTCCAACCCTCTGAGAGATCTGCAGGGTTTCAATATCAACGACCAAGCTTTACACGGGCTGAAAGGGTTACATGGGGCCCATCCTGGTCTCCATGCTTAGGAGTCACGGAGCCACTGATTCAGGGGCCTTATTCATTACCTATACTATTTTGGGGGTTCCTATTATAGTTATAGTATAATGGGCCCCAAAACCCTATTCTAATTATTGGGGCCCCTATACTACCTTTAAGGCTTCGGCTTGAGATTCGACAGTCTGGCACGATGTACCTATATAGAGCCTACTTTAGGGCCAAGGTAATGTTTGGGTACAGGGACCCTTAGGGTTACATTGTGGCCTTTAAAGTCAACAACCCATCGAGTGGGAACCCGGTCTCCAAACTACTCAGCCCTAAACCCAAAACCCTGATTCAGGGTCTCAGCTTTGCTGCTTCTTTCACAAGCTACGCCTCAAGGTCCTCTTAAAGGTAATATAGGGCCTTAATAACTAGAGCTGGGGGCGCAAACTTACGTCCCTGCTGAGAGTGTTTGACTACCTTAACCTACCAGAACCTACTTTTTTGTAGGGTCCCTATTAAAATCCATATTCGGGTTTACAATGAGAACCTACAAAAAAGTAAGGTTTAGTAGGTTTGGCTAGGGCTATAGGGCTTACGGTCCAAAGGACCCAATAATTAGGTACTCGGGTTTGGGATAGTAGTTGTGTAGGTTACTATTTTGAGAGTATATGATGGTTGGGGAATATTAGGGTTAGAGTATTGTGGCAGCCGCAAAGTTGGAAGATGCGCACCCAAAATTTCAGCACCCCACAATTGGAACAAAACACATCTTCCAACTTTGGATTCTTCCAAGTTTGCAACCGCTCCAAATGCCGGGACCTAAAGTTGGAAGATGGGACCAAGCAGACCCAACATTGAATTGCTGTTTCTCCGTCTCTCTCTCTCTCTCTCTCTCTCTCTCTCTCTCACTCCAATACTGCAGTAATTGAAGTTTTTCTCCCTCTGCAATACTGGAGCGGCCATGGTGTTTGCAGCTTCTCTCTTTCTGCAATATTGGAGCGGTCGTAGGAAGAGCGGTCCTAGGAATTGCAGTTCTCTCTCTCTCGGCAATATTGGAGTGGTCGTGGTATTTGCAATTTTTCTCTCTGTGCAATACTGGAGCGCTCGTAGTATTTGCAGCTTTTCTCTCTCTGCAATACTGCAGTGGTCGTAATACTTGCAGTTTCTCTCTCTCTCTCTCTCTCTCTGCAATACTGGAGCGGTCGTAGTAATTGCAGGTTCTCTCTTTCTGCAATACTGGAGCGGTCGTAGTACTTGCAGTTTTTCTTCTTTCTTTCTGCAATATTGGAGTGGTCGTAGTAATTGCCGTTTCCCTCTCTCAGCACTACTGGAGCGGTCGAAGCAGTTGCGGTTTCTCTCTCTGCATTACTGGAGCTGCTTCCCAAAAACCGAAAGTTGGAAGATACCGTTACCGCATCAACCGGTCCAAACGCCGGGACCTAAAGTTGGAAGGTGGGACCAAGTCAAACCCAAAGTTGGAAGATGCCGTTGCCGCATCAACCGTTCCAATTGCCGCCTTCCAACTTTCCGGCGGCTACCATATGGAATCCAGGGTTAGTGAAGCTCACGCAAGCTGGACACCTCAAGAGAATCATGCAATAAAGCCCTGAACCCTAACTTGTGCATATG